GGCCGATGCTGTATCCACTGCACCACCTAGCTGCCCCAATCATCATTTCTTATAGTACAATGGTATTCCATCACAATCATATACCACAACTTGTTCAGCCATTCCTCAGTTCATGGGCATCCCCTCAATTTCCAATTCTTTGTCACCGCTAAAAGAACTGCTATAAATATTTTTGTATTTGTAAGTTTCTTTTCCTTTTTTGGAAAACTCTCTTTGAGATACAGACCTAATAGTGGTATTGCTGGGTCAAAAGGTATGCATGGTTTTATAGTCCTTTAGGCATAGTTTTTAACATACTTTTTCAGAGGCTGTCCTTCAAACCTAGAATTTACTTCCTCTTCATCTCCATTTCATGAATCTCTAGCTTCTTCAAAGCTCAGTTCAAATACCCACTCTAACATGAAACCTTTCCTGATCTACCATTTGTAGTGGCCTGTTCCCCAGAAATTACTTGTTACATATTTTTTATTTAATTTTCTATGCACATGTTGTTTTCTCCAAATAGAATATAGGCTCCTTGAAGGTAAGGACTAGTTCATTTTTGTCTTGGTCATTGATATGCACTGTGCCTAGCACAGAGTAGGTGCTTCATAAATCCTTGTTGAATAAGATGAGTAAATGAATGAATAAATGCATTATCATCATGTTGTGAAACCTGAGAGGAATCTACAAATTCCAATAATTAGCTGGTGACTTTGTAAATACTGTAGAGGAATAACAAAACAATTGTTGTTATTTTGATGAACTACATGAAATCACTATAGAGAGAATATTTTAATTAAATTTACAAAATTCTACTCTAATGCCTCATCACTAGATGGGGGGTGATCCTGGATTCTCCAAGACTATGTCAACCCAGCCTTAGCTTTGGCAAGTTCTACCAGGAATAGATTGGCTTTGCTTTTCAAGGAGCTAAGTACCAAGGGGGCTCATAAATTCTTGGGCCATGGCTTTCCATGCAACAAAGAAAAATGCATAATTGCCCTCTATCCTTTATGGCCCCCTTCCACTTCCACATTCACCCAGTGATAGTGGCAGGATAGAGGAAAGGGCATAAAGGGTACTACGAATCACTTTTTTTTTATTCAATTTTACTTTCATGAAGACCTGTACTCTCTCTCTTCCACCTCCCTCTATCCCTGTTGAAAAACAACAAGAAGAAAAATGATATTCTATGTACTAACATCTCTGCTCAGTGACCAGTAAGCAGATATACTGTTGGAAGAGCTAAATGATATTAGTCAACATCATTGTTGTAAACAAAACCACAAGAAAGAAGTCACAGCTAATTGGGAGGTTGTTTACAGGTAGTCTTGGAGAGACAAGGAAAGGAGTTGACAGTTAATTTTTATTGTACGCCCAAAGGCAAAGAGAAACATTAGTTCATGGGACCATTTGGTTATCTCTGATTGCAGTTGTTATATTTGTGAAAAGACCAGAATTAAATGAGTTCAGTTTATACACTAACATCCGATGAAGAGGATGAAAAGGTAGAGAAATTCTTTGAAGAGTTGGATAAGAACTTCCAAATTCCATAAATTCTGATACTTGGTAATTTCAAAGCAAAGTTGGGGAGAAGGTGAGAATGTTGAGTAATACATGGGCAGCATGGTTCAGGAGGGCAGCTGGTGGTACAGTGGATACAATGCTCCGCCTGGAGTCAGGAAGACTCATCTTCCTGAGTTCAAATGTAGCCTTAGAAATTTTACTAGCTATGTGACCCTGGGCAAGTCACTGTTTGCCTCAGCTTCCTCATCTGTAAAATGAGCTGGAGAAGGAAATGGCAAACCATTTCAGTACCTTTGCCAAGAAAACCCCAGATGGGGTCATGAAGAGCCAGACATGACTGAAAGGACTCAACTACAACAGCGTGGTCTGGAAGAAGAAATACAAGAAGCTAAAGACTTGTACACAGGAGACTCATCTTTATGTTTCCTCAACAGAGTCTTCCCTGCTTCTAGGCAATCCTTTTATACACCTCCTTAGTTACCTCCCTATCTCATTCACCACAGTTGTTCTTCCAGATGTTTTCATCTCTCCTCAAACCTCCCATGGCTCCCCAGCCCTCTCAGCTAAGAACCTTGCCTCATAGTTTACTGAAAAAGATGAGACCACTGTCCAAGACCTCCCTTTTGTCATCTCCTTATATCACCCAGATGCCTTCTGCCATTATCTCTTCCTTCACCTTTGTCTCGCATCATGAGATGGATCTCATAAATATTCTGCATTATTTAAGAGGGAGAGAATAAGCATTCATAGAGCACCTGCTTTGTGCCAGACACTATGCTAGGTGCTTTGCAAATATCTCATTTGATCCTCTGCACAACTCTGTGAGGTAGGTGGTATTATTATTCCCATTTTATAGATGAGGAAACTAAGGCAATGAGGTTTTCAAGTGACTTGCCCTGGGTCACACAGCAAGGATGTGCCTGAAGTTAGATTTAAAGTCAGGTCTTCCTAAGTGCAAGAAGTACCAACAAGAGATGTATTATGCTCCAATTTATAACCAATCAATGGAGTTGGTGAACCCAGATACTGGCAGCCACTAAGGGGCTATCCGGTAAAGAGACTTAGTAAGCTCTGCCCAATCATGCCAATAAGTCCTGTTCCATCTTCCTCCACGCCTATCTGAGAGGATTCCCCAGACAGCTGAGGATCAGCAGTAAGGAACCCTAAAGTACTACCTCTTTAGTAATATTGGTGCTTGGTATCACTAATTAAGCCACGAAACATCTATATTTCATTTTTTTATACATATATATTTTACTTTGAGTAAGGATATGATTAATAGGGAGAGAAAATAGGGCTGAGGGGGCAGCTAGGTGGTGCAGTGGATAGAGCACTGGCCCTAGAGTAAGGAGGACTTGAGTTCAAATCTAGCCTCAGACACAAAACACTACCTATGTGACTAGGTAAGTCACTTAACCCCGATTGCCACACACACACACACACACACACACAAAAGTAGGGCTAGAGAATTAAGGTTAGATTTAGGGTAAGAATAAGAACAGTGAGGTTTTGTTTGTTTGCTTGTTTGTTTAAAGACATGGCAAGGGTTAGTGCTAGGGACTGTAATAAGGATGAGAATGTAGATAGTAATTGAGATGAGGTTCTCCCCAGTGATAGCTGCTGAACAGAAAACTAAAAATAAGAAAAAAGAGCCAATCCAGAGTAGGTCTCTCGAGAATTATGAAGACATAATAATTAGGGGAAAACATGGTAATGTAGATGCCCTTTGGAGAGTTTTAGCTGCGGTGACAAAAATGCTGAAATGGAAGCAGATAATATTTTAAATATTGGCCACCAAACCATTCTATCAATCCACCACCATCTGCTTTTCAAAAAGAATGAATTGGAAATTTTAAGAAATGTAAAAATGGAGAAGACTTTCAAAATAATTGATCAGACCTTGTCAAGAAAGTGAAGGAAGACTTTAAATGCAATAGTGCTCAGATAAATTTTAAGCCTAAAACATCAAATCCTATGGAAGCAGCAGCATGGTTGCAGAGACTATATATAGTTGAAAGGAAAAGTCTTTGGGCTTTTCACCCTGATTAACAAGGCAAAACTCAGGACAGAGATTTAAAGGAGTTTATTATAAGTACATCAAGGTAACAACATGTCCACGGGCTCATCACTGGAGATCAGCAATTGCTTCAAGGTGGGGCCAGCTTTTATAGGTAATTTTAAAACAATTCGGTTATTTCAACATCAACAAAAGAGGTTGGCTCCTTGCATCTCGGTTCCTCCCCAGGGTAGCAAGACTGTGACTATTTGTAGGTAGGGGATGACTTGTCTAGGAGACAAATATCTAGGAACTGGGTGATACCTGCCCCAACACTGATTGACAAACTGAGCTGGGAACAGTGAGTCACTGAGTCAATAGTAGCTTTCAATAATAACTAACCACCCCTCTTTGTTGTTTTTGAGTCTTTGTTGTGGAATTATTTCAGGCCTGTCTGACCCCATTTGAGGTTTTCTTGGTAAAGATACTGGAATGGTTCATCATTTCCTTCTCTAGCTCATGTAAAACGAGATAAAGAAAGTGAGGCAAACAGGATTAAGTGACTTGCCCAGGGTTGCACAGCTAGTAAGTATCAGAGGCCAGGTTTGAACTCATGTATTTCCTACTCCAGGACTAGCACTCCATCCACTGTACCACCTAGCACTGCCCAATCACCTTCTTATTTTCAAGAAAATTACTAATGAGATCTCACCCCCATGTCAGATCCCAACATGTAAGTATACTAAAGTATTGTTTAAATAATATTTAAATAGTATCACATGGTAATTGTTAATAATATGATAACATGATTAAGAGGCAGCCGGATGGCACAGTGGACTTGGAGTCAGAAAGACTTGAGTTCAAAAGTGCCCAAAGACAATACTCAGGTGACCCTGGGCAAGTTACAACCCGTCTGCCTTAGTTTCATTATCAGTAAAGTGAGAAATAACAATAGCACTTACTTCCTAGGGTTGTTGTGAGGATAAAATGAGGAAAATATGTGCCAAGTGCCTGGTACATAGCAGACACTTAAATGAAAATTTAAGATGTACTATAGATATATTTTATGTGATAAAATAAACACATTATGCAGTAGTCAACAATCGCTAATTATCATATGCCAATATAAGAGAAATGCACACAGAATTATCATATAATACAAATATATGTTAATCATGTAATATATACTAATAAATAATGACAACTGCTTGTCGACTGATGGAATCCTTTGGTTAAATGAATGACCGGTGTCTCCAGCTGCTCCCCACGCCCTGACTTCCTCTAGTGAACCCCGAACAACTTGACTCTGAGCGAAGAGAGATCGCTCGGGGACGGGGTTTGGGGTAAGTTTTGTTTTCTCGCCTTGCGGCAGCCTTCAGTTTCTATTTCGGATTGGCCCGGCCCTTCTCCAGCTGGTTCCGGGCGCGCCCCCATTTCCGGTGCAAGGCGAACCGAGGCGGGGTGGGGCGCGCTTCGGCTGCTGCTGGGGCTTCGCGGCTGCCGAAGCGAGCGAGCCGAGGGAGGCTGGCCATGACCCAGGCAGCCTTTGCCAGCTTGGTCACCAAGGATCTGTGCGCGGCCGGGGGCAGCCTGGAGCTGGGCGAGCTGAGTCGGCGGCTCCCGGGCGGCATTAGCGAGGATGCGCTGGAGAAGACGGTGCGCAAACTGGCCCCGGGGCGCTTCGTGCTGGGGACGCGCGGGGGGAGCTGCGAAGGGAAAGCCCAGGGCGGCGGCGGAGGGAGCGGCAGCAGCCCGGAGAAGCGGGTGCTGGTGGCCACCAGCGGCGCGAGGCTGTGCCAGGAGTACTCGAACACTTGCGACGGCTTTTGCGGGCAGCTGCACCTCTGCAAATTTTTCCTCTATGGAAACTGCAAATTCTCGAAGATCGGGTGAGGGTCCTGCCGGCTGTGCGGGTCTGGGCCCCGGGAGGATGGGGGGGGTGGCGAGGGAGGTTCCCCGCGGACCAGCAGCTCACTTGCACCGAAGCCTTCCGTCGGGTCATTCCCAGCCAAAGCCCCCGCCACGGGAATCACTGTCACATCCGCAGCTAATGTTTACGGATCGCCTTAAGGTTTGCCAAGCGCTTTACTGGGGTTCGCTCCTTCGAGCCTTCCTACTGCCCGTGGAAGTAAGTGCTCTTTATCCATCCTCTTTAAGGGATGACCCAGGGAATAGCTTTAGAGACCTTAGCTCTTTTGGTCCTCTCTACTACCCCCTGAGACAAGCGCTATCTTTATCCTCGTTTTACAGACGAGGAAATTGAGGCCTAAAGGCCAAGTGACCTGTTCAGAGTCACACAGCCGAGGCAGGATTTGAACACGTCTTCCTGACTCCAGGGCCGATGCTTTATCCACCTAAATCTCTCGCTGCTCCTCGATTTGGACAGTAGCAGCTGCTTGTTCCTTTAGATCAGTCCGACGATCAATATCTATTAAGTGTATCCTATTCGGCACTGCAGATCCGAAAACGAAAGTCGACTAGCTCCCTCCTCCTCTGCACAATACTAGGGAGGGGAGGACACTAAGGGGAGGCGGTCTCGCAAGTGAGAAGGGATGGGGGATGGGGGGAGAGGTGGTGATATCCTCTACTTGTCCGAGGATGTAGGAAGTCAGAGGGATGACCACTTCCCCATCCCCTTTCCTTCCCTGCTCTTCCCCCTTCCAGTCCCCACTTAGACCGGTTCGTGTGCTCCCTAATTCTGACCTTTCTGTACATTTAATCTCTAATAAAATAAAATATAAATATAAAAAATAAAATAAATCCTAATAAAATTAAGTGGGTAGAGATGTAGTGAATTATAAAGGGTATCAGAGGTCCTGGTTCCCATTGCTGCCTGTGATTTTCTGCAAAATAAGGAAACTAATTGTACCTACCTCACAGGTTGGTGTGGGGATTAAATGAATTGATATATGTAAAAGGAGCTTTGGAACCCTGAAGTACTATACAAATATGAGTTATAGTGAAAACCCACAAAATAGGCTCATAGATTCAGAGCTGGACCGGATCTTAGAGACCATCTACTCTAATATAGAATATAATATAGATGAGGAAACTGAGGCCCAGAGAGGGCAAGATCATTGCAGTATGTTATAGATGTATTCTACAAAGGTGGAAAAGATATTTGCAGAAGTAAGCCAATATTTTGAATGTGCTAGGAAAGAACATTTAAGGAAATCCTCTAGTAAGTGTAGTTAGTAGAGAAAGGTTTGTTCCTGGAGTCTGGAAAACCTGAGTTCTGGGGGCAGCTTAGATGGCACAGTGGATAGACCACGGGCCCTGGAGTCAGGAGGACCTGAGTTCACATGCGACCTCAGATACTTGACACTTAACTAGCTGTGTGACCCTGGGCAAGTCACTTAACCCCATTGCCTAGCCAAAAAAAAAAAAAAAAAAAAGAGAGAGAAAACCTGAGTTCCAGTCTCTATTGATGTTTATTCCCACTGTGACTTTGGGCAAGTCGCTTTCTCGTTTGTAAAGTGAAGGACTTGATGATCTCTGTGGTCCCTTCCATGTCTTCTTCCTCAAGCCCAAATTCTTTTTGTAAAGCGAGGAATGAACTTCCTAATTTGTCTTTAATAAATGCAGCTTTAATCCAGCCGGTTATTAAAGAGATTGAGTTGCACTTGGCTGGGAAGGATCAGGGACATCAGAGAAGAGACTTGGGGTATAAGAAGTGAGGACTGAGGGAGAAACAGGGCCGCAGCTGAGGAGGGGGCTCTTCTCTTTGTCAGAGAAGCCAAACCACAATGGTGGCAGTGGGAGCCGGGGCTCCTCCTCGGCCCCTGGGAAGGAGGCAGTGAAGAGTTCTTTTGATTGTTCTCTCTCCTTTGTGCTCTCCTCCTCCCCATCCCCCCTTACCAGCACACCTCACAGGCCTGGATGAGGGCTTTCTCTCTTGACTGACTCACCAGCTTTTCTGTTCCTGCCTTCCTGTTTGTGCCTGTCTTTCTCACTTGCTCTGACTGGCCCAGTACATGCCTGGTTGTTGGATTACTCAGGCTTCCCATCTTTTGTTTCCCTAGCAGGCTGGCATAGGTCAGGTACCTGAAGACTCCTCTCCCTTTCCTCTTTTGAGTCATGTATATCATGGAAGCGAATCTGGATGAGAGGCTGTCTTTGGAGAATCAGGTTGCCTTGTTTTCTGGGAGAGACTGGTGCTGGCCCCAGCAATATGGTGGCTCTACTTGCTGGTGGTATCCCACCTGTTGGTTCATTTTTTTTCCTTTTTATCCAGTATGTAACCCAGTTTCTGGCACATCCTTAATAAATACTTGTTGATGGGGCAGCTAGGTGTCAAAGTGGCTAGAGCACCAGCCATAGAATTAGGCTGATCTGAGTTCAAATGTGGCCTCAGACACTTACTAACTGTGTGATCCAGGGCAAGTCACTCAACCCTGATTGCTTCCCCCTGACCAAAAAAAAAAAAATGCTTGTTGATTGATCTGAAATATGGGAGATCTGCAATACAATTTGGGAAACACTGACCTCTCAGATTATTTTCAGCTTTAATGAGTCTGTGATTCATAATTCCGAGGGAATTTCCCCAAATCACAAAGTGGCAGAATCAGGCCTACAACCCAGGGCTCCTGATTTCCTTTCCAGTTATCTTTACAACAGTAAATCCAAAAAAAATGATTTTCCTTAAGCTCAGATCTCACCAAGTTGTTCCTCTGCTCAGTAAACTCCAGGGGCTCCCTATTGTCTCTAGAATAAACCATAAAGTCCTTTATAACCATGTTCCAACCTATCTGTGCAGCATCATCATTTATTACTGACCTTCCTGTACTCTCCTGTCAGGCCAAACTGGCCTTCTCTCTGTTCCTCACACAAGACACTCTGTCTCCTGTTGTAGTGGCTGTCTCCCATGCCTGCAGTACCCTCCCTCCTCTTCTCTGCTTCCCAGAATTCCTCGCTTCCTTCAAGACAAGCTCATACACCTTCATGATCCCTTCAACCACTGGTGCCCTCCCCTCAGACTACCTTATGTTTAACTACTTTGTATTTATTTGTATTGAATCTCTGTTATTGTGTGTGTATATGAATATATACATACATGCATGCCCATATGTTTGTGTATCTATACATGGACATTCTGTATGTACCTATACATATGTGTATATACATACATACACACATATGTATACGTGTGTCCTTTATGTTTCCATTGTTAGAATGTAGACATTGGCCCCTGGATCCACGATAAGTTGTTCATAAATACTTGATTGCTGAACTACTGAGATATTAGTTCACAGGGACAGTTGGACCAATGAAAATCCTGTAGGAGTTGGAAAAATGATCACATTAGAGAAGAATGCAGATTACAGGTTGACCTTTGGTCAGATGTTTCCTGGTCATGGCTGATTTAAAGATCCTTATCCTCGTGGCAGTTGTTTGTGTAGTCTGGGGGAAGGACTCTTAGCAATTTACCTCACAGAATTGTCCGGAGGAAAGTTCCTTAAAGCCCTGCATAAATGAATTATTCTTAGTAAAGGTATTTTGGCATTGCTGCTAGCAAAAACCTGCCACGCCATTGAGCATAATTTTGGAGATTAAGAAAACTCCTTTCCCTCAAAGAAGAAAAGGCCTTCCATTTTTTTTTCCCATTTCTCCTTCCTTATAAAATGCTTTGAATTTTGGCAGAAGAGGGCAGTGATATTGATGTTTTGAGTACAAAGACACCATAGGGTTGTTGAAACATAGATTTTGTTGTTGTTGGAAGGGATCTTAGAATACTCCCCTTCATTTTTACAGTCAAGGAAACTGGGGCTCAGAGAGACTAATTGGCCTAATATCACACAGATACTAAGTAGCAGTCTCGGAATATGAATCCAAGTCTTCTGACTCTGTGCCATGATAGGAGAAAGAAATATGAGGAGAACAATTTAAGGTAACCATGGGTTTCCTTTATTTCCAGAAGAGCAACTAGGTATGAATACAAGTTGGCTGTGTTGGTAATTTCTGTAATTTCAGAATTTAAACTTTCTCAGGGCTATATTAGCTAGTAGTCACATTTCTTGCCAGCATCTCTCTCCATCTATACTGTCTAATACAATGGTTCTTTTGTGATAAGTCTCATGGCTTTCATTTTGTCTGTGCTTTGCTGTCCTGATGAGATGGCCTGATGAGATGATTGGCCTCCTCTAGGGCCGAGATCCTGTCTTCTGTCTCTTCTGTGTCCTTCCACAGTACTGGCTTAGCATACAGCTTTGAACATTATTATTCTAACCTCCTGTCCCAGTGTCCAGAAGTAACAGCACATTCTGATGTGTCCTGGCTGCATAAGATACTTCTATCTTGACTTAATAATTCACAGGAAATAACTGGTTTCATGAATTCCCACCTCCCCCTCAAAGCACTTTTGGGTTGTACATTGTATATACTCTGTGGGGTGATGTTTAAGAAAGCTGCTTCTTGAGTAGATATATTGTTTACATTGCAGAATGTGCCCAGTAGAAGGGTTTGGCTTCTGTACTGGGCCTAATTTATACTAACCCAATTATTCATGTCTAACCCAATAGGATGACAGCAGGAGAGAATGGATGGGTGGCAGTGGGGAAAATGAAGAGTTTAAGGCAGGCCTTTTGTTTTCTTTCCTCTCTTCTTTGGGGCAAATGGGGCCAGGTGCCAATCATTGGTTCACTTAACAATTGCTTATCAGGTACCAACTCATGGTCTGGAGAAGACACAGAGATAATTAAGATATAATTCCAATTCAGATGGAGCTTACAATCAAGCAAAGGTCATATGCTTATACAGATGTGCAATAACTGTATTTGCTCAATAAAAGCACTAATGGAGAACAGAGTAAAGGCATAAGTGAGGGATAAAATCCTCTGGAGGTCTGAAGGAAATATTTCTGACTAGGGGCTCAGGGAAGGTTTCATGGAAGAGGTAGGGTTTGAGCAAGGCTTTGAAGGATAAATAGGCTTTGGAATATTAAGGTCTTTTGCACATGGGATGTGGTTGTGAGCAAAGATACGGACACAGTTTGTATATGAAGGGCTGATTGTATTCTAGTTTGGCTGGATCCTAGACTTTGTGGAGGGGAGGTGGGGCTGGAAAGTGAAGCCTGTTCTAGGTTGTGAAGGGCCTTAAAGGCTAGACTAAACAGTTTTGACTTTAGTAGGCAGTGGGCAAACATTGAAGAGTTGTCAATAGCAGAGTTAATTATGTGGCCCACAGGGATCCATCTCTATTGGAGTTGAAAGGAGGCAAATACTAAAGAGGCAGAATTTTTATTTAATTTTTTTTTATTAAAGAGACAAAATTTTAACCAGCCCCAATATTCCTATTATTGTGTTCCTGAGTTGGAATGGCAAAAGTAGCCCTGGCAGAGGTGTCCTCATAGCTGTTTGCTCCTAATTGTAGGCTCCCATAATTACTGAGTAAACTGGAGGCCATGAATTTAAAATGACAGTGCCATGTTCCCATGGGTCACTTTGATAGAATATATGAGGCACTTCCTCTTTAAGAAATAATGTAAGGCCAAAGGATCATAAATTTTGAACTGGAAAGAACTTTAGAGGTCATCTAGCTCAACCCCCTCATTTTACTGTTAAGGGAACTGAGGCCAGAGAAAGGAAGTGAGCTGCCTAAGGTAATACAGGTAGTAAGTGACCCAAGTACACAGACTCCAAATCCAGTCCTTTGTCCTCTTTGCCTTGATGCTTGTCAGACTTACTTTTTGAGGAAATGTTTCCTCTGTCTTGTCAAGATTAGTTGATTTTATTGTGTGTCTATTAACTAAGTCTTGATGTGTTCTTGAGGGTGAGATGTGCTGAGATTTCACCCCCCCCAAAAAAACTGATTTTGCTCTCTTCTCTCCTCTTCTTTCCTCTCCTCTCCTCTTCTCCTCCCCTCTCCTCTTGCCCTCCTCTCCTCTCTTCTCTTTCATTCCCCTCTTCTCTTCTCTTCTCTTCTCTTCTCTTCTCTTCTCTTCTCTTCTCTTCTCTTCTCTTCTCTTCTCTTCACAGGAAACAATGTAAATATAGCCACAGCATTGATTCTGTACACAACACGAATGTCTTGAAAAGCCATGGAATTGAACACCTCAGTTTGAACGAATTAAGTCAGCTTTTGCTTCAGAATGATTCTTCGCTGTTACCAGAGGTGAGTGGCAGATGTCTAATATGTTTGTGTGTGGACAGTAGGCTCCAGTGTGACCCGCTATATTGTGACTTAGATTTGGTATTTTTTGGGGGAGTGATTCTTCCTTTTTTAACTGCCTATAAAGGTTGCCAAGGAGAGAGGGCTTTGGAGACCAGGAAAACTGAGTTCAGGATAGGAGTATATGCTATTTTGGAGAATGGCCCTTGTGTCAAGGCATGGATATAAATCCAATGAGTCAAGAAAGTTTTCAAGGCAAGAAGATTAGATGCACCATATATTTTAAGCTGGAGGGGACCTTAGAGATCATCTTGTCCAGTCTGCTCATTTTGTAGGTGAGGAAACAGAGAGTTCACATGGTGAATTACATAGTTATATAATATGCAAGACAATTACTCTTTAAGGCTAGGATTGGCCAGCTATGGCTCGAGGGCTAGATCCTGCCTTGCTGCCTAGTTTTGTGTAGTCTGCAAGCTATGAATGGTTTTTACATGTGAAAACAGGTTAAAACTCGTGGTTAAAAACCATCCTTACCTCAAGGGCTATACCGAAAAGGCAGTGAGTCAGATTTGGACTGTGGGCCATCATTTGCCAATCCTTGTTTTAAGGAATGGTGTATTTCCTCCTTAAGGAGGCATAGCATTTTCTTTATAATGGCACAGGTAGGCCTGCTGGAATATAAAGTCTTTGAGGACCAAGATTGTTTTCATGTTGTCTTTGTACCTCTTGTGCTTATGTCAGCGTAAAACAGAACTCAGACAGACCAGGTGATCAGTAAGTAAAGGGAGGCATTTATTCAGGGTCGAGGAATTGCAATTTGGGACAACAGGCTACGTTATCCAGACAGGGATGCCTGGGGAGAAAGGTGGAGAAGGGGATTCTTATAGGGCATAGTGGAGAAACAGCAGCGGGGCGTGTGGTTGGATACACAGAACAGCTGAGCTCCAGGAAGGGAGTGTTGGAGGGGCAACAAAAATGAGGTTGTAGAAATGTCCTTATCTCTATCTGAGAACGGGGTGGTTAGAAACACTGGGGTACATGGGAATCTTCTTGGGGGCAGTTAGAAACTGCTGGTCAGAGCAGGGTAAGGCCCCAAGTTTCCCAGGGGTTAACACCGAATATAGTGCTTTGCACATAGTAAGTGCTCAATAAATGTTGTTGAGCTAAATAGAACTCAACAGTTCATTTCCCTTTCTACTATGTCATCTTAGCTCCATTGGAATTTGTGATGTTACAAGTAGCAGCACAGATTTGTTTTATAATTAAACTTTGGTTAATAGAAACCTTCAGCAAGTAATAACTTATTTATATAGCACTTTGAGGCTTACAGAATGCTTTCCTTGGGGCAGCTAGGTGGCGCAGTGGATAGAGCACCAGCCCTGGAGTCAGGAGGACCTGAGTTCAACTGTGACTTCAGACAATTGACACTTATTAGCTGTGTGACCCTGGGCAAGTCACTTAACCCCATTGCCTAGCAAAACAAAACAAAATGCTTTCCTTGAAGCAAAACTGTGAGCTGGGTAGTGCAAGTAGTAATATTCTCATTTTGTTGATGAGGCTCTGAGAAGCAGAAGACTTGCCCATGCTCATGCAACTAGGAAATCTGGTTTCGAACCTAGGTCTCCTGGCTCCAAATCTAGTGTTTTAGCTACCCTTAACACACTATTTCATATGCATGTAATTCCTCCCTCCCCCTCCTCCCTGCAAGGATTGTTTCTTTATTTCCCTTGTTTGTGTGAGATCCCTGAAATGCCATGAGATTTCATTTAATTGCTTTTCTGGATTTTTGGCATGAGATTTGCGGGATGGGGTGGGTTAGGAGGAAGCGAGAGACAGAACTGTCTTTGTGGCTTATTGAGCAATTTTTGGTAGATTCAGCAAGTATTTCTTCACTCTTAACCTTTTGCTGGGGCAGCTGGGTGGAGCAGTGGACAGAGTGCTGGGACTGGAGTCAGGAAGACTCATCTTCCTGGGTTCAAATCTGGCCTCAGATATTTTTTAGCTGTGTGACCCTGAGCAAGTCACTTAACCCTGCTCGCCGCAGTTTCCTCATCTGTAGAATGAGCTGGAGAAGGAAATGGCAAACCACTCTAGTATCTTTGCCAAGAAAACCTCAAATGAGGTCACAAAGAGTCAGACATGACTGAACAACCCCCACAACCATTTTGCTGGTCCTGTAGAAGACAGAAAAGAAATGTGACCTAGTGCTTAAGAAACTCCCAGTCCCGTTGGGACAGCAAGACCTACATATGGAACAACTTTAAAAACATAAAACCTTACATTAATTTAGATGGTGCTTTTACAGTTTACAGAGTGTTTTCTCCATGTATTACCTCGTTTGAAAAATCAGTTTAACTGCACAAGGAAGGAAATAATAATGCTTTAAACTATCAATTAGTAAGCATTTTTTAAACTCCTACTTTGTGCCAGTCCCTGTGCTAAATGCCTGGGATACAAAAAGAGGCAGAAGACAGTCCCTGCCCTCAAGGAGCTTACAATCTAGTGGATAATCTACCAGGGCTTCTTAAAATTTTTCCACTTGTGGCCCCTTCAGCACCTTTCAAACTGTGGGTCGAGACCTCATGCATGTAGTGAGGTGCCCAGGTGTGTGGTACAAACAGTAAGTGCAATGGTGAGCCCTGAAGGGAAGCTGGCAGGTTTGCCTGATGGAAATAGATGGACCAGCCATGTGTGGGATTCCTTAGATGTGATCTTGGTGAGAAGGTGTGAGGGAGGGAGCAGCTGGCTTTGAATGCCAGGCTAAAGACTTTGGCATTGATCTGATGGGCTTGAAATAGCCCCTGGAGAATCTCAAGTGGGAGAGGAACTTGATTTTCTTTTTTTTTTTCTTTCTCTCTCTCGCTCTTTTTTTTTTTTTTGGTGAGGCAATTGAGGTTAAATGACTTGCCCAGGGTCACACAGCTAGCAAGTGTCAAGTGTTTGGGCTAAGGTCAGATTTGAACTCAGGTCCTCCCGGCTTCAGGACCGTTGCTCTATCCACTGCGCCACCTAGCTGCCCCAGGAACTTGATTTTCAAAGGGCTTTTAAGGAAGATTGTTCTAGCTGTTTTGGGTAGGATGGGTTGAAGCCTGGTGTGGATGCCACACTGCTTTTGATTTGTATTTCTGGTGGTTGAGAAGCTGGATCATACATGTGCTTGAAAGCCTCTTTTAGTCAGTCCCTGTTGACTGTTGACCTCACTGGAGCTGTACCCCTTTATGGTGTTAACATTTGGTAAACAACCTCATATTCAGAAATATCCATACTTATCTTCATTCCCTCCCTCTCCATTGGCTCCTTCTCATTTACTTACAAACATGCTCAGATCTCTCCAATCCTTAAAAAAAAAAAATCCACCTGCCCTCTTATTCTGGTAAGTTACCAGTCACTAGTCTGCTGCTTTGCTACCAAAATTTAGGAAGCAGGCACTTGCTGTTTTAGCTTCCTTACCATTCACTCATTCTTCAGTCTATTGGCAGTCTGGCTTCTATGTGTGTTACTTAATTGAAACTCCTCCATTAAAGGTCATGAATAACCCATCATTGCCAGCTGCAATGGTCTTTTCTCATTCCTCATTTTCCTTTGCACCTCTGTGTATCGCTCCCACCACCGACCACCCATCTGCTTCATGTTAATCTCCTTGGCTTTCCTAACACCCCATGGCGTGGTTTTCTTCTGCCTCTCCATTTCATTTCCTTCCCTGGTTCCTCAAATGTAAGAGCTCTTCAGGGTTCTGCTGGGTTCTCTTCTCTGACTCTCTCTCTCTCTCTTGACCTCTCTGCAGCACTGCTAGCTTCTGGCTACTACTCTCTTTCCTTTCTTGACTTCTGAGATACGGAGCTTTCCTGCTCTTGCTTCTTCTCTGAAGGTTTCTCGTCGTTTTCCTGAGCCTTTCAGGTAAGGTGGCTCCAGAGACGTTCTTTGCCCAGCTCATGTTCTTCTAAATGCCACATGAGGTTTGTTTCCAGTTTTCTACTACCACAAAAGGGCTTTTAATCAGTCAACCAGCAAATGTTCATTAGGTGCCTCCTAAATGCTAGACATTGTGCTAGAGTCCACGGGTGGGGAACCTGCGTCCTCAAGGCCACACATGGCCCTCTAGGTCCTTGGGTGCAGCCCTTTGATTGAATCTACACTTCACGGAACAAATTCCCTCAATAGAAGGATTTGTTCTGTAAAACTTGGACTCAGTCAAAAGGCTGCATCCGAGGCCCTAGAGGGCCACATGTGGTCTTGAGGCCGCGGGTTCCCCACCCTTGTGCCAGAGATTGGGTATAGAAAGACACAAATGAAACTTTTAAGAGATTAATAACTCATAATAGTGAATCATTAAAGTGGCACCCCTAGGGCAGCTGGGAGGCACAGTAGATATAGCACCGGCCCTGGAGTCAGGAGGACCTGAGTTCAAATCTGGCCTTAGAGCAAACACTTGACACTTACTAGCTGTGTGACCCTGGGCAAGTCACTTAACCCCAACTGCCTTAAAAAATAAAAAAGTAAAAAAAGATAAAGTGGCAGCCCATTAGGGCCAAGGCTTGCTACTGTAATGACAAACAAAGTTAGAACAAGAGAGATGAACTGGGACAGTTGCAGAATTCAGGGGTTCATATAAAGACAAAAAAGCCAGGTTTAGTGTGAATGAAGGAATGAGGTGTAAATAGAGGAAACAAGTATGGTTGAAAAGGAGAATTTTGAAGTTCAGGATCTTAAAGGTGATACATTAAAGCCTAAGGTGAGACTTTTCTAAAATAATATTTCTCATGATAGTTCTAACACTGTCACTTGCAGGCTAAAAATCCGTCCGTGGCTCCCTCTTGTTTACTGAACCAATTCCAAACTCCTTATCTTGGCATTCAATGCTCTTTATAATCTAGTTCCATTTTTTTCTCTCTCACATTGCTGCCTTTCATAATCCCCCCAAACTAGAATAAAAGGTATTTTCTCAAACTCATTCTCCCCGTTCCTATGCTGGGAACTCATTTCCACCCTCTGCCCCCCACCTGTTAAAATCCTATGCATCTTTTAAGACTCAGTCCCAGTATCCCTACCCTCCCCAAATCCCTGTCCTTCCAGACTCCCCAGCTCCAAGTATTTTTCCCTTCATTTGATGATTTTTCCACACTTTGTGCCTGTCCTGTGCAAATGTGATCTATTGTGCATTATAATTATTTGTATACATCTCTTATCTCCCCTAAACTCCTTAAAGACCAGGACCACGTTTTATTCATCTTTGGATGCACCAATGCCTAGTGTGGTACTCTGGACCAAAAGACATTTAATATGTGTCTTTTGAATTGAATTGAGGAATGTAGAGTCCAAAGAGTTGGGCGGGCACCTAGTTCTTGCTGTACCTGATACTGAGTATGGGAGTTGAATGAGACTCAGAGAAGGTGGCTAGAATGAAGGGGTCCGAGTAGGACTCAGAAATAGGAAACTGGGCATGGCCCAACACTGGGTTTAAAAGTTATTGTGATAATCTACACTCGCCGTTTTCCTTAACCTTGCTCCCACACTCTGAGAGCTGTTGGAATAGGGAAATCGGAGAAATTGGGGATTGGGTACGAGGTCAGTCAGATCTTACCCTTATTTGAATTCATGACATATTGTACTTCTTTTACTAACTTTGTTATTGTGCGTGTCCTTCTGCCCTATTAGATCGAAAGCCTCTTAAAGGTAGGAACTGTATCTTGTATGTCTTTTTATCCTCCCAAGACCTAGGACAGTTCATTATATATGTTAATAAATATTGAGTGAATAAACCTGAGAGGATACCTCATCTTATGTATTAGGACTATATATATATATATACATATATATATGTATACACACACATATGTATTTTCATAAAAAGGAGTTTGATTGTCTTTTTTCTTAATTCTGAGAATAATTTGCATGTTACAGGTAGAAATTTTTTTAAAGTTTGATAGAATTCTGTGAAACTTGTAAATCCATTCCACCAGGATTCTTTGCCTTTGATTGCTCCCTTATAGTGAGTTTGGTTTCATTTTCTTAAATTAGATTAAGATCGTTACTTCACTTACCATTAATTTAGTTATTTTTATATTTTTGTAGATAGCTGACAGAAAAAGTGTGATCAGTGAGGCCACTATGAGAGTATACAATTCAAGTAATTAATACTTATAGTCTTCATGTCCCTGTGAAGGTGGGGCATATGTTCTGAGCTATTTCCCTAGGAATGGGGATGGATTTGTATGTGTTCTTGCCTGGTTCCTCAAGTGTATAGGTTGTATAGGTAACATATTTGCAAGATGGCTAACCAGGTGAAGGGTGTAGTCTCTGGCCAAGACTCATGGGCTTTCTAAGCCCAAATAGAAATGAAACTCATGACCATTGTCCTATTAACCTGGTGTTGTAGCTAGTGAAGATAAACAGGAAGCTAATGGTAATGTACAAGAGTTTTTTTAAATAATTTCTGTTCTTCTCTTTCCTTGTCCACAGATCTGCGTGCACTATAATAAAGGAGATGGGGAACATGGTTCTTGTACCTTTAAAAATACTTGTGCCAAACTCCACTTGTGCCAGTATTACTTGCAGGGAAACTGCAAGTTTGGCAGCAGCTGCAAACGGTCCCATGTCTTTAATTCCACATGTCAGGAGAAGTTGGGAAAGTGGGGGCTTAGTGCTGCCATCATTAAAAGGTTGCCTTTCACTTATAGAAATGCTTTTGACATCAAAAATGAAAGCTCAGCAACACCTGAAAAAGGTAGGGAACACTTCACCATTCTGCATGCACTCAGGGAATGTCCAGCCTGATAGAGGACATCTAGGTGGGCTCCCTCTCTTTCTGTTCTTCTTCCCTCTCTCCTTCCCTCTCTCCCACCTTCCCTTCCTTTCTTCTCTTCTTCCTTCCTTCCTTCTTTCCCTTTCTCCCCTTCTTCCCTCCCTCCTTTCCTCTGTTTCCTCCCTCCCTCCTTTCTTTCCTTCTTTCCTTCCTTCCTTCCTTCCTTCCTTCCTTCCTTCCTTTCTCTCTTCCTCTTTCTCTGTCTCTTTCTATGTCTCCCTCTGTGTGGCAGGTGAAAGATAAAATGATTGAGAAAACAAAGGTTTGCTCTTCCGAGCATATCGATTTATTAAGCAGTGCATGCCAGTTGCCCAACAAACCAGGACCAGACCTCCTCAGCCTAGGTCTGGACCCTGAATCCAGGGGGAGATAGACTTCTGTTCATTAAAAACAATTAATCAAATAAGGTTGATTAATTAAAAGGAAATAATACAACATTAGGTAATCTGATTTCTAACTGGAAGAAAGATTAGAGACTTGCCAAGTTGGGAAAGGGGAAGCAAATAGGTGCAATTGCCTGAAGTCAGAAAAAAGAGGCATCCCATTCCCCTCAACTATCCATAAACAATCAAAGGAACATGGAAACAATAACTGATTAATCAGTATGGGGCCAGTTTTCAGATAAGACATACGGGTTGCTTGAGATGTGCAATTGTGAGAAAACTCCTTGCTTCAGTTTCTGGTCAGTATAACCTAGGTCCTTAGTTAAGGGTCTTGAAGCAGGTAGAGGTGGCCCAGTTTCCCAGCCATGTAGGGTTAGATTCAAACAATGAAATAAGGTTTTCTCTCAGTTTTCACAATTGAATAAAGTTTTCTCACAAGACAGAAATTGGACCAGATGCATAACTAAATAGAAACTGAGCTAGATCCAGAATTGAGTCACAAGATGGAGTCACTGTGGTTCACCCAGTTCCCACAATTAACTACTTGCTGTCCTGATCCACTCACTTCCCTTATGTGTCTGTCACTCTCTTAGTGCCTCTCTGTCTCTTCTTCTTTGTGTTTCTGTCTCTCTCTCAACCTCAAATTGAGAAAAAAAATAAAAAAAATAAATAATTGTTGTAACAAATATGCATACTCAAGTAAAACAAATTCCCACATTGCCTGTATCCGAAAATATATGTCTCCTTCTTCTTGCAGTAGGTACAAATCTTCATGTCTTCAAGCCGGAAACAATTCAATTTTTTCCTTTTTCCTGTCCTACATTTTTCATGCAGTAGAGTTACACTTTCTGTTGCAGCTCCTGGGGTAATGTTTTGCCATTAATGACTTGCTGTTAGTTTTATTGGTCTCTGGGCTAGTTATTGAATGGATTTGTCATACGAAAGGAATGTCAGGAATTCCAGCAAATACATTTGTTGCCTTAATTTTGCTTCCTGCCTTCAGAAAAGTTTTGGAATATTTTCATGACCAGAGCTTAATGTCTTCTTCAGGTTTTGTTTAATCACTCTTTGGAAATTCCTCGTAATTGCAAGGAACCTGAATATATTTCTATCTTTGTTCATTAAGTTTTTGCTCCTTGTAGGTGAGTGAACAGGTAGATTGACTTAGGTTGCATCCAAATTAGGATGATCAGTTTCTCTCCATTACCTTTTCATGGAGGGATGTATCAAAGAGTGTCCCTTGGAAGCCAGTAGTACTTTGCGTTATTACTGTGCCATTCTGGATGAAGAATGGAGATTCAGCAAGTTTTCAGATAATGATAAATTAATTGAGAAGTGTTTTAGCATGGTAGGTGTAGATGGCTAGATTTGGAGTCAGAAGGTACTACCTCTGACACTGATTAGCTGTGTGACAGTGGACAGATAGGGGAGCTTTTCTGAGCTCAGGCAGCCCTCTAAAACTATAATTTATCGATGGGCCATGAGCCAAGTTGATGGAGGGAGCTCCCACACCAATAGCACAACAGGTTTCTGAAATACTAAATAAATTACTTGGGGTTGCTAATAAAGGTCCAAGGCATATTTTTCAAGAAAAACTACATGGCAGACGTAATTCTGGGTTGGAGAAATAACTTCTGAGCCAGTGTTGTCCCTTAGGGGGTTTCAGAAAAATATGACTCGAAGATTTAATAAGTTCTACCATTAAATTTAGATTTTTGTATTAGGCCCTTTTCTTGGCAGTTTATATTAGCATGAGAGACTCACTCTAATCTCCAATTAAATATGACATATTAATAGGGAATAGAGTCTTTTGAGTCAGAAAGACCTGGGGTCAAATTCTACCTTTGACATATTCTAGCTGTGTGACCCTGGGAAAGTCACTAGACTTCTTAATGCCTCAGGCAGCTCTTTAAGACAAGTTGTAGTAGAGTGGAGACTCAATGGGGCAGCTAGGTGGTGTAGTGGATAGAGTACTAGCCCTGGAGTCAGAAAAACTCATTTTCCTGAGTTCAAATCTGGCCTCATACACTTATTAGTTGTGTAACCCCTGTTTGTCTCAATTTCTTCATCTGTAAAATGAGCTGGAGAAGGAAATTGACACAACTTTCCAGTATCTTTGCCAAGAATCACAGAGTCTGAAATGACTAAGCCACAGCAATTGGAGGATCAAATGAGCTAATTAATGTACGAAAAGTTCTTTGCATAAATCGATTTATGTATGAACTGCTTTATCCCACTGATAAAATCACAGGCCCATACAAAAATAAATTTAAAAAAAACCCCAAAAACTGGTGCCTTCTGCTGTCAGAGCTGAGAAGGACCTTCCTGCCTTTATACAGGCCTAAGTCTTAAAGTGTGACTGAGGCGGGGAATGGAGAACTTGGAGTCTGAAGACATTTTATGACTTTTCAGGGAGGCTTTTTTATATACTCATCTGAACAAATCACAGACTGGGGTTTAGGGTTCAATTAACTTTGAATGTAGAATTATATCATCCATAGCCTGATGGAGCGACTTTCAACTTTTTTGAATAACAAAGGCCACTCCTTTATACCTTGAAATACTTTGACTCCAAATTGAGGCTTGATGGAAACTAATTCCCGTTTTTCACGTGTGTCTGTGTTGCAGAAAGAAGATGTAGTAGTGACTCTGTACCCGCTGCCCCTAAAAGCAATGACGAGAATGATCAGATCTGCTTGTACCACATTAGGAAGGCTTGTAGCTTTAAAGGTAAGGTGCTGACACTTTGCCATCTCCTGTATTAGCACAGCCAGGACACTGCCCCTTGAGTCAAGTGCCTACTTTTACTCAATAATCTATTCCCAGAATTCTCCCTTGTGAGACCCTCACCAGGTCTCAAGTCAACTGCTGTAGTAAGTAGAATCCTAGAATGTTAGCACAAGGAGGTTTAAATGTGATCTTTTCCAACCCCCCCATTTTACAGAGAAAGAAAACAAAAAGTGAAGTAATTTGCCCAGGGTCACAGGTAGTTGTGAGGCTAATATTAGGACCTAGGCTTCGTGAGGTCCAGTGCAAGACACTTTCTGCTAATCCTGAGGCTCTCCAACCAGTCCTTCTTTTGGGGCCGTGGGCTCAGGTCTGGCAGCTACCTTAGGTAGTATTTCAGACATGCGTAGATTGGCCCAGGATGATCACTACCATTGTTAACATGGTTTCTATGGGGAAAAGTGTTCCAGGCTCCAAACACCTGACTTAGGAAGGGATTTTGGGAGGAGATCCTATGGGAAGTGGGGACTGCCATATTACAGTGGGCAGTGCTGTGTGGAAGGAGGAGTGGGATTCTTTATTTGAAGGTTCCCGTGGCATCATTCATACACTTTTTGGAAGCAATGATTGCAAAGTCAGCCTTGGCTATTTCATCTATAAAATGAGAATGTTGGCTTATTTGATGCCCCATCTCCCCAGTGTCTGCTCTAGCGCCAGCTCTCTGATTCTCTGGCCAAAGCCCTGGTTTATTCCTTCCTTCAGGCCTTCCTCAACAGTGAGTCAACAGTGAGATCACTTTCAGGAAGTTGTTTACAATGCAAGGAATTTCTTTATTACAGTATAAAGACTCTAGGTTCAGACCCCCTGCAGGCTGGCCCATTTATAAGTGCATGGTCTAGCTCAGGGTTCATGCCCGTCCAGCTAATAGACATCTTCTGTCCCCAATCTCTGCCCCTGGTGTCCAGGATTTGAAAATAAGGCATGAAATATATATTTATGTATATATTTATATATATATATAGATATATAGATATATACACACACACACATATATACACATATATATATATACATATGACTAAATGGCACTCAGACCAATATTGTTTGAGAGAAGGGGGAGATGAGTGCAGGCTGGTGTCCTGTCCTAGAGGAAAGAAGATGATGGCTGGGTACCCGGTTTCAACAGAACCTGTGCTTTGAGATGATTCTTCTGGATCTAGGATGTCTCAGCACATCAATACTGATCTTAGGGTTTCTCTTGGCAAAGAAACTGGAGTGGTTTTTAGCCTTAGAGGGTATTGCATAAATCAGGTAACACCTATACCCTGTTTTTCATTGTTTATATAGGCCACACTCTGTGGAATTACCATTTTGATTTTGTTTCTTTTTTTGTTTTAGATAAGTGTTTTAAGGTCCATTTTCATTTGCCGTATAGATGGCAGCTCCTTGATGGGAAGACGTGGAAGGATTTGGAAGAAATGGAAAAGATTGAAAAGGCATACTGTGACCCCAGTAAAAGCCAGTATGAAATGTTATTTATTGCTGCCCTGTGCCCAGGCTGTTTGGGGGGAATTTGGGAAGCTATTAAGTTTCATATTATTTAATTTGCCTACAAGGATGTGGAAGCATGGTAAATACCAGTTTTTGGTAGTGCGTTTTTTTGCCCTGTCTGTCTCCTGCACTTCTCCCAGCTGTGGGGAGCGAGGTGGGGGATGTGAAGAGAGAAGTAAATAATTATGTAAATATTTACTGAATAGGAAGACCATTAAATGATTAGTTGGTGAGGTTGATTGAGTTGTTAGCTGATAACTGTTTTGTGCTCCTGGATTTGGGTTCCAGTCCAAGCTCCATCATTCACTAGCTACACTTTCTAGTCCCACAGAGTGCTTAACCTAAGCGGTTGCTCAATCACCCTAGGACTTTGGTCATCTGGAAAATGAGGAAGTTGGACAGATGAGCTCTGAGGTCCCTTTGGGCCTTAGACCAGGATCCTATGATCCAGTGGGGAGGGTGTATAAAGTAGGAAGCTACCTTGCTCTTCTGGTGAGGTTTGGTTTGAAACTGGGTTTCAAGTGAATTCCTGGGCAGACCTATATCCCAAAGCAAGGATGAAAACACATTAGGGATGAGTCTTCCTGACCGCCATCCCGGCACTCTATGCACTATGGCGCCACCTAGCTGTGTAATGTTTACTCACTTGTTTTCTCGCACAGGTTTCTTACGAAGGTTGCCTGGAGCCCGGGGATTGCCTCCATCAACTTTGATAACATGACTTGTGCCCATTACAAAGCTCAACGTCTCTCCACGGCCTCTTCTGTTGTCAAGCCTCCACACTTCATCCTCACGACTGAGTGGCTTTGGTATTGGAAAAATGATGGTGGTTTGTGGCAGGAGTATGGCCTAAAGGTAAGGGAGGGGCTCACTTGGGCAGCACATGGATTAAAATCCCTGATTCCATGTGTCATTCCTTAGGTGCACCTGGATGACCTGTATTCACCTGTCTTAGATTTAGTTTCTTCATCAGTAAAACGAGGGGCTTGGATTGGCTGGCCTTGAAAATCCCTTCTACCTCAAGCCTGTGACTCTGTCAGTCATGTGGGACAAGACTAAATGGTCCTTTTGGTGAGCTGAGAATGATGAAATCATCTAAAAAATGGAGGTCAATGAGGTTTTGATGAAAAAGCTTGCTTATTTCAAGCAGTATTTGGTCCAGTAAAATTCCAACCCAACTGAGGAATTTGTAGCTCAATCTACTGAGACTTCATCTTTATATGTAAGATCCAAATCCACTTGAAAAAGAGGAAATTGTAACACAGTGAGTGTCTTTTCCATTCCTTGTGTTAAATGATGTGGAAAGAAGTCTTTACTTCCATTCCAACAAACAACTCTTGGTTTGGTTGTGGGCAGATCAGACAATATAGTGTGTAGCCACCCATTTATCTGATGAGGAAACTGAAACTCAAGAGAGATTGAGTGACTTGCCCTTGGTCACGTCACTAGTAAATGTCACAGGTAGGATTTCACCTCAAGTCTTTCTGACTTCGAGTTCACCATACTTTGACGCTTCCCTGTATCCAAAAGGAGGAGTCTTATAGACAAATAGAAGATGGGTGATAGGTCAACGGAGTTGATCATTGGAACCACAATAATAATGAGCTTTCCAAGGAGGTATAGAGGGAAGGTCAGAGAGATAGGGAGAAGTGAAATCAGTCAGTAAACTTAGCAAGACCAGCTGCATTGGTTATGCTAGTCATTCAGCCATCAGTGGATATCAGCAAAGCAACAACAGTGAACAAATGTTTGTTGACTGCCCGTTGTTTGCAAAGGCATTGTTAATTCTTTTGTTTGTTTGTTTGTTTGTTTTTAGGCAATTGGGGTTAAGTGACTTGCCTAGGGTCACACAGCTAATAAGTGTCAAGTGTGTGGTCTGAGGCCAGATTTGAACTCAGGTTCTCCTGACTTCAGGGCCAGTGCTCTATCCATTGTGCCACCTAGCTGCCCCTGCATTGTTAATTCTTTAAAAGAATTTGAGAGTTGTCTATTTTAATAAAGAAGTCTATCTGTTCTTATCTTCTTGACCTCATCTTCCCTTATTCAGCAGAAATCATACTTTGTTTTTCGTTTGTTTGTTTGTTTTTTAGGCAATTGGGGTTACGTGACTTGCCCAGGGTCACACAGCTAGTTAGTGACAGGTGTTTGGTCTGAGGCCGGATTTGAACTCAGGTCCTTCTGACTTCAGGGCTGGTACTCTATCCACTGCGCCACCTAGCTGCCCCTAATCATACTTTGTAACCCACAAGATGTATAATTCTTATATTTCTATTTTCTAAAGGAATTTAGCAACTGGTCCAATCATCTTTTCCTCAGTGGATTTCTAACACATATTCCCCCCAACCCTTCCACCTCAACCTGCCCCTGCACCAACCCCTCTAGCCTTCTGGTCACATCTATCTCCCTTCTGGCTCTATTCATTTTCTTAGGCTGGACTCTCTGATCCCACCCCACTCTACCCCGGTCCTATAGTTGAACTGGCAGGACCTCCACTCAGCTCTGACTGCCTGCCAGCTCAGGAGCCGCTGGGCTCATCAGTTAGCTTATTAGAGCCTTCAGCAGGGCTGATGATTCCCCACCCCTGGCCTAAAGTCTTGTGTTTGCAGAATCTCCAGATGGTCATCACCTTTATTGGGGGATTGTCTTGTGCTGTAAGAAATGGTCCTTTTGTGGTCTAACCTGTCTAATTTGACAGGGTGCCGAACGCCATGCAGCTGATGTTAGCAGCAGTGACGTGGAGAAGGCCTACTTGAGGCAGGAGTCACCTGTCTTCCAGTTCTCAGTTGGAAAGCACAACTATGAGTTGAATTTCAAAGGTATTTCCCAAGGATGTTCATTTGACAATCAGGTGTTAATATGATACTTCTTATTCCATGTGCTGGCTTGATAGACCCAGCCAGGCTGACAAGGAGCTAGAAGTGCTTTACACGAGAGACCCATAAGACTAGATGTGTTTATCAAAGGCTACACAGACAGGCTCAGGTGGAAATCAGCAGCCCTGCAATCTGTTCCACAATCCAGCCCTGAAGTGGCGGTCCCAGTCAGCGTTGCTAACCTGAGTCTGAATTCCCTGCACTCTGAGATATGCTGCTGGCCTCGTGGATGTCAAATGTGCATGCAGGACACTGTCCCATAATGAAGTGGCCTCCAGCTCCCATAAAGCAGAGGCTTTTATACCGCAAAGGAGAGCTGGATGGAAAAATATTGTGACCTCGTGACTTCTCTCCTGTCTTATCAAAGGCACCTCAGGGACAGGTTGGGGGCTAGGAAAGACTTACAGCAAGAGGGATCTTTGGTAGGGGTCTATAGAGAGTGAGCATGAATGATTGATAAGTACCCACCACACTGTAAGTACTAATCTTCTGCAGCTCTCTAGAATTTTATTTCTTTAAAAAAAAATGGTCACCAATTCATATTAACCTTTCCCTCACTTAATTCAGGTAAGTCAGTTTTCAGCATGTAGTTAAAAGCTAATTCTGTTGTTTTTTAGCCATGACTCAGAAAAGCTTACACTATGGCACTGTCAGAAACGTTTGTCGGAGACCGAAATATGTGTCTCCTGAGGATGTGAAGACGAAGCAGACTCGGTAAGCTGTACTTGAATGATTTGTCCCTTGGTACAGATCTGCTGTGGCTCAAATCCAAACTTTGGTTGATACTGAGATTAACCAGAAATGTCTGGCTAACATCAAACCTTATTGTCCTTACGTAGCTCCAGCAAAATATGCAGCACGAATCAGCATAATCAAACATAAATAATGTATCACACATACATATTTTACTGATTTTCAAACATGTGTAGATATTATGGTTAAAGATAAAAATTCATTTAAAAGGATAACTGAATTCACAGCTGCTATTTTTGTGATTATATTTTCTTGGTGAATGGTTAGTACTGTTCTATATGGGATCCAGCATTTTTTTTTTTAACTTTATAAATGGGTTCTCATATTCCAGAAAAGGTTGGGAACCATCTTCTGGCCAAATGATCTGAATGGAGGAAGGCTACCCAGCTCTCATATCCCCAGTTTAGTAAAAAAAAAAAAAAATTAAAAAATAACACTAGGAAGAATAATACTCAAGAAATCAAGTGAGCAACTCTAGTAAATGGCTTCTTCCATCCCAGAACTGCACGAAAGCTTTAGGCTCTTCAGGGCTTGACCCTCTTGAGCCAGGAGGTCTTAAGCCGCATTTGGCTGTGGTAATGCTGCTTAATTTCACTACTGTCATCTCTCAGTTATCCATTCAGGGATTATCTGGGAGCAAGTTTTAAATCCTCATCTGGTTTCTTGACCGAAGTTTCACATGCTTTTAGACATAACCCGTTCTCTCTGTTGCTATGTGTCTAGGTAATACCAAGTAGTTATCATGTCAACCCAAATCAGATATAATTAGGAAAGTAGATTTGTTGTTAGAAAAGAAAAAATAAATGCATCCTAAAGCCAAGTAAGAATGTAAGAATTGTAGGATTGTAAGAATATTTGCTATTTTGAATCTTCTGTATCACTAATATTAGTGCATAAATTAGATGTTAATCTAATTACTATTGCTAATGACTAATTATTATTGCTTTCACTCTTCCTAGCCTACTTAAGGTGAGCTAGGATGAGGAATTAACCATTGGGACAAGGAAGGATAGAAGTGATAGGGGTCCAGAGGCATTTTGAGTGAGTAGTAATAGTATTGATATTTCCTGAGATATTTGCCTGAGATGCTGAAAATGTGAAAATGTTCTTTATTTTCTATTATGTTCAGTGGTGACAAATCAGAGGCCCCAAGGGATGTTCCACCTCATTGGGATATGTCTGCATTGCCGGACCTGGGATTTAAGGTATGGAGCTTGAACTGCTGATAATCTTAGAATTCAGGAGCCTGAAAGGACCTCAAAGATTATCCAGACCAACCCTTCATTTTTCACATGAGAAAGCTTAGGCCCAAAGTGTTATTGTTTGGTTGTTTTAGTTGTGTCTGACTCTTTCATGGCCCCATTTGGGATTTTTTGGGCAAAGATATTGGAGGGGTTTGCCATCTCCCGCATTTTTACAGATAAGAAATTGAGGCAAACAGGTTTAAGTGCTTTGCCCATGGTTGCACAAGCTGGTAAGTGTCTGAGGCTGCATTTGAACTCATGAAGATCCACTGCGCCACCTAGCTGCCCAAGCCCAGAATAGTGGTGACTTCACCAGGGCCACAAAGCTATTTAGGGAAAAGGCTGAGACTTGAATTGAGATTTTCTCACTTGACTGTCCGGTTGCTGCATCATGCTGACCAGGATGAAAGTCATTCTTTATAAATGGATCGGTAGCTTGGTAGAGTGAAAAGAGCACTGGACTCAGATTTGAGACACTTGGGGTCATAGCCCGTCTCTAACACTTAATCGTTGTGTGACCATGGATAAGGCACATAGCCTTCTTCAGTTTTCGGGGTAATACTTACATCATAGAGTTGCTCTGAGGATCAAATGAAGATTCATGCAAAGAAAAGTGCTATGTAGACGTCAGTTATTATTGTAGGATTTAGTGTTGGAAAAAAACCTTGGGGGTCATCTGGTCATTTGGTCTTAGCCCCATCCTCTATTTTACAGAAGAGAAAACTCGGGGCAGTATAGAGATGAGGTGACCTGCCCAAGGTAGCAGGAAGCAGAGCTGAGATTGAAACCCAGGGCCTTTTACTGCTAAAACTAGTGAGATTAAAGTGACCAGATCTCAGATGCATCAGTGAAGGACCCAGCGGTGAGCTGGGTGATTGTTGTGCTCACTGTTGGAGGGGAAGACGTGTTTAGGGACAGTTTTAGAGGGGTAGACTTGGGGGACTAGCTGAGGTGGCTGGACCCAGAGAGGAACCGGGTGAAACCAGTTCAGAAAGGGGAGACCATTAACTGTGAAAATCCCCTGGAAAGTAGAAAATAAAGGATGAAGCGACTATGTTTTGTCCAAAAAACGAGTCATGTTGTCCAAAAAAGCAAGGCAAAAAAACAGGTAGGTTATCAGGAGAAACTGGAACTTGAAATAGAAGGGGTGATGTTTGTGCACGTATGTGTGTGGGGGCAGTGGTGGAGGATGGGGGTGGAGTGCACACAGCCTTCAACAAGAACCTAATTAACCAGATTCCTTTTCCCTTTTTTCCTTCTTGTTTGTTTTTGTTCTTTTCTTGCTACATTAGTCAGTTCTTACCTGTGTTTGTTCTTTTTGTTAAAAAAAAAAGGGTATAGAACCTCCATGTCCTTAATGTGTTTTATATTGTGTGTGTATATATATATATTTTTTTTTTTAAAATTTTGTCTCTTTTAGCTAATCCAACTTTCTCCCTCCTCTGGAGAGTATCTGAAGGTCCAAGAGCAGTTTTGTCGTACAATGCGTAACTACGTCATTCGTAAGATCGAGAGAATCCAGAACCCCACACTCTGGGAAGTGTATCAGTGGTATGTTTGAGACAGTAACCAAGAAATAACAAAAAGCAGAACCTGGTGCTAGCAAGGACACCAACCCGAGCTAGGGTTCTGCCCACCTCACCACAGGGGCTCCTCAGGTACATGACTCTTCCCCTAAATGAACTTGTGAAGTATTCTTAAGGAGAACAAGGTGACGAGGACTAATTAGTCCGATCTATGCAACCCATTGCCACTTGTAGAAAAATAAAGTATCCACTCTACTAAGCGTGTCAAGAGCATGCTTCTTCCATTTAGGATGGTACTTTTATTTATGGTATGGAGCAGTTTCTGTGTGTAGGATATGATATAAAATATATGGAGAGACACCACTGTAGGGCCAGGGTCATGCTTACCTCCCCGTGCCAAGTGGTTACAATGATGGTTTCTAACATACTTCCATGTGCAATGGATTTATAGTTTACAATCATCAATTCTATAATAATCACAAGGAATAAGATGGAAATGTATTTAGCTACCTGTAGTCAAAGGTGAATTTTTTTTGCCCCATTCCATATCATTGATGAAAGAGTAAATTTTGCTATACTTCCTACATTTGTTGATTACATTACCGTATCTTATTGGGCTAACACCAGCAGAAGGAAGCCCTTGTGCAAAGGCCTACCACTTCTCGACATTTATAGAATGCCTGCTCTACATGTAGAACTGGGAAGGAGTAAGCATTTATATAGTACCTACTGTGTGCTAGACACTGTGCTGAATGCGTCACAAATATTATCTCATGTGATCATGTCCTTGAAGAGAGTCTTGTCACCTTGAACTAGTTCAAGACCAGTAATGCTCTGTATTGATTCTAGAGGGAAAGGTTGGCTTATTGGCAACCGAAAACCATGAACAGTCACAAGCTTCTTATCCTTTCCTGTCTTTCCTTGAGAGGAGAAAACACCAGATTTGAGCCTGGTGATAGGGGGAAAAACAGACTTCTTTCCCAAGGGCCTTATCTCTTCTAGGATGATAAAGAAACTTGATCTTGAATGGAGTAGAGGATAGAGTTTCTCTTTTATTTCTTATGCCCACCAAAAACTGAAGGGGAAAGAAATGGTAGCTACCAAGGAGAATCTGGAGCTGCTAATTGATGGAAAACCCATTCTTGTTGTTCAGTCATTTTAAACTCTTAGTGAAAGTCACTTAATGTACCTGAGAATCTCTTTGAGTTTCAAAACATGTTGGTTATTTGGGGACAAGTGTACTCTCTTGGCTTTCTATGAGTAAGTCACTGCAAAACCTATATTTGGTTAGAACCACCCACATTGTCTTTTCTTTGCCACAGGCAGAAAGCACAGATGAAGAAGAGTAATGGAGGGCAGGAAGTGGATGAGAGGTTTCTGTTTCACGGCACCAGTCCCGAGTATGTTGATGCCATCTGCCATCAAAATTTTGACTGGAGGATCTCTGGTCTTCATGGTACTAGCTATGGCAAAGGTAACTAGTTAAGATTTAAATTAAAAAAAAAATTTTCTGAAAACTTGTAAATACTTAAACATTATAAGAATATGTGATTTTGTTGTGATGGTGCTTGTGTGTTAGCATGCTCCTCTGATGCGGGTTACAACTTATTGTTGGAACTGAAATAAATCATCAGCTTTGGGTCAGCTGGGTAATGCCCTTCTCTGAACCCTGATTTGACTGGTCCTTAGGTGACAGACATAGAGTATATCACCTGAAGCCTTTTCACCTTGGTAGGAACTGCAGATCTTGAATTCCATTAGTGTAGTCTTCAAGAACCCATGGTAACCGCCATGCCACACTGAAACTTTGGAGTAAGGTTTTTATGAAGGTTCCTAAAACTCAACTCTGGAAAATTAAGAGAGAAGCCTCTAGGCATTGGTCTAAGGAATAAAAAGAATGTAATTCTTGATTATATGTGGACAGTAATCTGCTTTCAAGTTTGTGAGAAGTGCTTTGCTAACATTAGCTTTTATTTACTTGGCAAGGACCCCAAGGTCCTTCAAAACCCAAACACTCGCCCTTTTCCAGGGGCGAGTTGAGAAGGGGCATTTCTGCTTAGGCCAGTATTTCGAATCTGCCTGAGGGACAAGTTAGACTGTCTTTATATCCTTGGTGCCTAGCATAATGTACTGAAGAAAGAAGGCACTTAAATGTTGAATCAAAGGGGCACTGTAACCTGGGATTCAGGGAGGGGTTGAACAAGAAACAAGACACTTTTCCAACTCCTTCTGAGCCAAGTCTTTCCAGGATGGTAGCTTAGTTTCCTTGGCATTGAATTCTTCACACATCCCACAAATTCATTCACATGGAAGTGCAAAGCCCGGCTATAGTTTAGTCAAGCTGTACATTCTTCTGTGACTTGGGTAGCTCTTTGTAAACCAAGTTCCATTTTGGTAGTCAGGCCTGTCTGACACAGGGCTTCTGGTGAATTCTATGAACCTAAATTTTCAACTAGCGTGTAGCCAATTCAATCTCTGATTTATAGTCTCTGTATATTGAGATACGACTTATTGAAGGACGCCCGCAAAAACTGTTCAGTGTGGCACAAAATTGTGCAACAAATAGCTTGTTCTCGAAATGCAACTTGAAAATGTTTTTCTTCCACTTGGGCCAGACAGAAGCTTTTGCAGCAATCTCTGCTGTCGTCTCCGGCCCCATTAGAACAAGTCTCAGTCATTTCTTTAGCTAGGGCCGTTAGGGGAGTTTATAGCCAATGGCAGGCCTTAGGTGTAATCAGGGGAAGAAGAAGAAAGAGAAGAAAAAGAAGGGGAGGAGAAAGAGGTGTAGCGGGAGGGCAGGAAGGAGAGCGAATGGACCCTTCATTGCCTTCGATGCCCCTCGGTGTCTGTGCCATCGCAGCCTGCTGACTCGTGAGGTAGAAGTGCCGTAACCATGTAGGTCTCTCTGGATTTGCCTAACACTCAAGCCCCTTTCCGGACTGATGTGTTTCTCTTACAGGGAGCTACTTCGCCCGAGATGCTGCTTATTCCCACCACTATAGCAAATCTTCCCTGCAATTGCAGCCCATGTTCTTGGCCCGGGTTTTGGTGGGAGAGTTTACCAGGGGCAGTTCCTCCTATCTGCGACCTCCTCCCAAAGAAGGTCAGAAAAACGTCTTCTACAACAGCTGTGTGAACAGTATGAGCGATCCTTCCATCTTTGTGGTCTTTGAGAAGCACCAGATCTACCCGGAATATCTCATTTGGTACTGAACCTCCCATGGAAAGCTTGATCTACCTGACTCTACTTTCTCAAAATCAGTTAGTACTAAAATGAAGGTTTGGGGATATGTACATTTCTCTGCTTCTTTTGGCTTCTTCTTTCTTAAAGTGGAGAAGAGCCTATGTATTGTTTTTGAAAAACATTTTTAAAAAGTTTCAATGTCCTACTTTGCACTAATTTTGTTATACAGGTATATATCACTGACTTTTTGCTAAAGGAGAATTTTCTCTCATAGATCTCCCATAGATTATTTACTTCTTCTTACTATACTATAACATCAACAACAGAGTAACTGATGAGTATGTGGTGATAGCCAAGTCTATTTTTTTCCTTTTTAACTGTGTCATGCTTTTATTTGTCTTAGTCAAGTATTCTGATGTCTGGGTACTTTACTGGCAAGAGCAGAATTGCACTAATTCTTTAAAAAAATCTTTTATTGAGATCTTGTATTTTTATATTACCTTCATTTCTGAATCTATCCCTTCCCTGCCTCACCAGCTGTGCCTTGTGACATTAACTAAAAAAGAGGAACTCAGCAATGTTAAACAGTATATCAGCTTAGATTGGCAATATATGCGGTGTTCCTTACGTGTAGTCCCCTACCTCTTCAAAGAAAGGCAGTGCTTAAGGGCTAGTTTTAGTTTGGGAATATATTTATGACCCAACATTTAGCCCTTTAACATCTGCCACTATTTGCACTTGCCTTCTCTCTCTGCCTGTTCTTTAAATCATGGCTGGTAGCAACTGGAAATGTTATCTGCCAAAATTTGATCGCTGGTAGGCAAATGCAAAAATACTTTTGTGTTCTACTGTATCGACTTGAGGCAGAAGCCCATAAATGATTCTTCCATTACTGGGGTTATCAATTAGGATTTTACAAAATTAATTGCCATTCTGTGGTGTAGACTAACCATTTATACCCGTTGGCTCCCAACTTAGCCACTTTACCTTTAGTCAGTAGTATGAAATGTCATTCATGCTGGTTAGGAGCAAGTCATACTGTTGAGTGTGAGTTTTATATCTGCGTGAACTTATGTGAATGTATGTCACGAATGAGTATGAAAATAAAAGGAAATTTTTCTCCAAATGGATAGTGACTAAAGTTACTGGCTTCTGTTACTCCCACATCTTCAGCAGGAGTGAATGTTCAGTAATACAACAGGCATTTCCTAAGCACTTTCTATGTAGAGCCATGGAGTTTAGAGATGACGGTGTTATTGGAAGTTTACCATTTAGTAGGGAGCTATGACAGGTATGTAAATAACTATAATTCACAATTATAGGTGATGAGTCCATTAGAGAGTTACAAAACCAAGTATTTGCTACGTGAGGTCTGGGGGTAGGGAAGGTTAATACTAATTTGGGGCTCAGAAAAAGGCTAATATTGAGATGGTGACATTTGATTTGGTCTTTAAAGCCCAGGTGGGAATTCATCTGGCAGAGATGGGGAGAGGAGATGTTCTAATGCTAAAGAGAGAGCAGCTTGAGCAAAGTCATAGTAGGAGAGGGACATGTTTGGGAGATAGAAAGAAGTCCATTTCAGCTGAATCATAGGGTACGTAAAGTATAGGGGCTAGACCCCTGATTTCATTGCTGTGGGGAACTCGCAAATGAGGAAATTCTCTCTACCAATGTAGCTGACACCTTCTCTGTAATTGATCATCTTAGAGACTTAGTCACCTAGAGCAGTGGTGTCAAACTCAAATAGAAACAAGGATGGGAGGGCAGGGAGATGTGTATCAACTTAGAAAACCACATACTAACATTATCCATGTTCTATTATATTTAGATTTATTTTGTTAAATATTTCCCAATTACATTTTAATCTGGTTCTGGCCATACTGGGAGTATAGTTGGCAGGGGGAGAGTATTGAATTCTGCTGGTTTAGAGTGCTGAGAGGTTAAGTGATTTGTCCAGAAGCACACAGCTGATCAGTGTCAGAGGTAGGCTGTGAACCCAGGTCTTCCTGGGCCCTGAGGTCTGCCATGCTGTTTTTCTTCTCTGGGTGTATAGGGGAGGGAATAACATGAGAGAAAGGTTGGAGTGATAGGATAGCAACAGTGCCACAGATCCACGTAGTGAATTAATTTTAAATGTAATGTTTTATTATATCTCCAATTATATTTTAATCTGGTTCTGGCTACACTGGGGAATGTTGTGGGCCACAGACCCTATGGTTGACACCTCTGGTGTAAGAGGTACTGCAGCTAGCAAAGGATTTTGAATTTTGCTTACTAGGTGTACTCACTGAAGATTTTTGAGCTGAAGCATGATGTTATCACATTTTATATATATTTTTAAAAATGTATATCCAGTTCCAAATTCCTTCCCTCCCCCTACTCCTCCCCCACACATTGAGAAGGTGAGAAATGCAATACCATTATATATATAAAGTCATGCAAAATGTATTTGCACGTTAGCCAAGCACAGTTATACATTAAAGAAAGAGTACTTGGTTGCCATTGTCGGAAGGCTTGTGTGGTTCAAAGTGGCGGAGATTGTAGGCTTCTTTGTTCCCGTGACAGCAGGGGCCTCTTGAAGTCCCAGTGACTCAGGGAATATGGCAGGGCCCTCCCTGACATTTCAGATAGAGTGGGGTCTGGCCCATGTTTTGCACCTGCTTGGTTATTATGATTAAGGAGTGGGAATCCCATTCCCACCCTCTCAGCTACCTCTGAGCTGGAAAGCATGAAATCATTACATTTATGCTGGGGTGGCTGCAGCAGATAATTAGCTTAAATCGACTATTTCAAATCACCTGCCAAGTCAATTTCAAACTCTTTATGCTTTGTCATAAATCCCATAGAAATGCAGAGTCAAGAAAAGTGCAAGACGTATTTGGTGAATGTGAATGGACCAATTTGACCAGAGTTTCATCTTTATGTAGGGAAATGGTGAGAAACACGCCTAGAAAGATAGGTTGATACCAGAGAGTGGAGGCCCTTAAGTCTGAGTTTTAGTTATTTTTTGATAGGTAATGGAGAGGGCAGCTAGGTGGTGCAGTGGATAGAGCACCAGACCTGGAGTCAGAAGGACCTGAGTTCAAATATGGCCTCAGACACTTACTAGCTTTGTGACCCTGGGCAAGTCACTTAACCCTGTTTGCCTCAGTTTCTTCATCTGCAATATGAGCTGGAGAAGGAAATGGCAAACTACTCCAGTGTCTTTGTCAAGAAAACCCCAAATGGGATCATGAAGAGTCAGACAAACTAAACAATGACAATAACAAATCAGTAAAAAAAAAAATTGGAGCATTCACTGCCAGATATGTTATAAATAATATACGTGTACTGGTATTTTAACACATGTATAAATAAACACATGAAAATAGAAATAAAAAAAGATGAGATAAAGATGAAATATTTTTAAAATAAAGTATTTTACTTACTAACAGTTTAAAAAAAACCCTTTTGCTCTCACTGAAAATATTAGTGTTTTTAGATGGAAGCAGTGTGGTTAAATATGCAGTGTGCTTGGATAAAAATGTTATTTAGCACTTTGTGATGCGGTCAGTTCACAAGTAAGCGTTAAGTGCTTACCATATACTAGACACCATGCTAATTGCTGTGATATAGCAATTCAAAGGTCTGGTTTTAAGTTCATTATATTTTAATAGGTGGTTTAATGGCTGTATCTATGAAAATTCATAGATCCAAACAAGTGACTGCACAGGTTAAATTAGGATCCTTATTTTTTCAGTCTAATCTACTAATTATGCAAAGATTTTTTTTTTTTTGCTGAAATGTGGCTAATAAATTTCCATTTTCTGCAAAGAAAAGTGGCCTAGCAGTACTAGATATCAAACTATATTATAAAGCAGTAATTATCAAAACTATCTAGTACTGGCCAAGAAAAATGGATCAGTTGACTAGATCAGGTACATGAAACACATTAGTAAATGACCATAATAACCTAGTGTTTGATAAACCCAAAGACCCCAGCCTTTAGAATAAGAACTCATCATTTGACAAAAATTGCTGAGAAAACTGGAAAAGAATATGGCATAAACTAGGCGTAGACCAACATCTTACACCATATACCACGATAAGGTCAAAATGGGTACATGATTTAGACAGAAAGGGTAATACCCTAAGCAATTTAGGAGAGTAAGAAATAGTTTTTCTGTCAGATCAAAGGAGAAGGGAAGAATTTATGACCAAACAAGAGATAGCATTATGAAATGCAAAATGGTTAGTTTTGATTATATTAAATTTAAAAGTTTTTGCACAAACAAAACCAATGAAGCCAAGATTAGAAGGAAAGCAGAAAGCTGGGAAACAGTTTTTACAGCAAGTGTCTCTGATAAAGGGCTGATTTTTCAAATATATAGGGAAATGAGTAAAATTTATAAGAGTACAAGCCATTCCTCAAGTATTAAATGGTCAAAGGATATGAACAGGCAGTTTTCAGATGAAGAAATCAAAGCTATCTATAATCATATGACAAAATGCTGTATATCACTTTTGATTAGAGAAATAAAAATTAAAGCAATTCTGAGGTCCTGTCTCACACCTATCAAATTGACTAATATGACAGAAAAGGAAAATGATAAATATTGAAGAGAATGTGGGAAAATTGGGACACTATTGCACTGTTGGTGGAATTGTGAACTGATCCAATCATTCTGAAGCACAATCTGGAACTGTGCCCGAAGGACAACCAAACTGTGCGTACCCTTTGATCTAACAATACTACTACTAGGTCTTTATTGCAACGAGATCATAAAAAAGGAAAAAAGGCCTAAATGCACAAAAAATATTTGTAATAGTTCTTTTTGTGGTGGCAAAAAATTGGAATTGAGGAGATGCCCATCAGCTGGGGAATGGCTGAACAAGTTGTGGTATATGAATGTAATGGAATACTATTGTGTAATAAGAAATGATAAGCAAGCAGATTTCAGAAAAAACCTAGAAAGACTTATATGAACTGATGCAAAGTGAAATGAGCAGAACCAGGAGAACATTGTACACAGTATCAGCAACATTGTGTGATGATCAATTATGGATGACTTAGCTCATCTCAGCATTACAATGATCCAAGACAATTCCAAAGGATTCATGATGGAAAATGCTATCCACATCCAAAGAAAGAACTGATGGACTCTGAATGCAGATCGAAGCGTACTATTTTCACTTTATTTTTTTCATGTTTTTTTTCTTTTTACTCTGTTTCTTCTTTCACAACTTGACTAAAATGGAAATATGTTTTACTTGATTGCACATATATAATGTATATCAAATTGCTTACCATTTTAGAAAAAGGGGAGGGGAGGGAGGGAGGGAGAAAAATTTAGAACTCAAAGCTTTTAAAAAATGAATGTTAAAAATTGTCTTTACATATAATTGGAAAAAACAAAATGCTTTAAAAAATTCCCATTTTCCCTGAAGTCACTTAATTCTTCTTGCAAACTCATCATAAGGTGCTACACTTGAATATTTTTAACAAAAGAATTAAAATGGGTTCCACTGAAATTCATTTGGGAGATTCTCAAACAGATTAAAAAATTCCACTTCTGAGTTTCTGAAGTGTGCTGATATGAGAGATTGTACAAATGACCCATGCATCACTTTTGGCAACAAAAACAGGTTTTTAAATGTCTTGCTCTTTTTGATGTCTTCATACTATCAGTGACTATCTCACGACAGAGTATATAGACAGGATGAGGTTTATTGTTATAATCTTGATAGTTTTGAATTTTTTGGCTAGATTTCTTGTGAGGTCTGATTAGATTGTCTTTATTTTTACTTTGTAGTGTGGCAGATGCAGAGCTGGTACTACAAATAGAAGCGTCAGCTCTGCCATTTTCTTTTCTTTTCTTTCTTTTTTTTTTCAGCCAAAGACAAGGTTTATTAGAACACTGATTGGGGTGAGTGAGATTACTAGTGAGTCTGCGCTGTTGGCTAGATTTTAAGAATTTGAGCCTACCATTTTCTTTTCTGCTTATTACATTCTTAATTATGTATTATAGTATTTATTACATTGTTAATATTTTAGATTTAATCATTAAATATTTATTTAAAAATTTATTGAAATATTTTATCACCTATCTTTCATACTGTATCCCTCCTTCTAGTGAGTCATCCCTTATAACAAAGAATAAAAAAAGAAAAAAAATACCTAATCAAGATATCTGACACATGCAGCATTATATATCCATCGTCACCTACCTCTGCAAAGAAAGGGGGGAGGTGCTTTCTCAGACCTCTTCTTAGGAATAGGCTCGGTTAACATTGTCATCATGGAGGGACAATGAATGCCACACCAAGGTTGAGCCTATCTAGAGGCAACAGGTTATAATGGAAAAGAGTTGGATCTGGAGTCAGGGGACTTGGATTCAAGTTCCAGTTTGGCTACTTACCACCTTTGGGACCTTTGGCAAGTTAGCTTCTCTGTAGTGATTGTACTAGATTGTACTAGTGATTGTAGGTAATTGGATTAGAAAACCACTGGGGCCTCTTTCAACTCAATAGGTATGAGAGATGATCATGCAATTTTCTGTTCAGATCTTTCCTTTCTTAATTTTCTGTTAGAATTATCTAAATCTGAAAGAGGTACTTTGACGTCTCCAAACAATTACTGTCTTACTCTCTAGGTTTTTCAGTAATATAATTAACTTTTTATTCAAAGTACTGAGATATTTTACATAGAGAACAGTCTGAAACAGTTACGTGCATGAAACAAATTTCTATGTATCAGGTTCTGTATTCCTTTTACTTTCATTATAAATCTGAAAAATCATGGGATCATAGATTTTTTTGCCTGGAAAGGTACCTTAGAGATCTTCTAAACCAGCCCTTTCCTGATGGGCAAACTTGGGCTCAAGAAGGTTAAAAGATTTGCTCAACATCATGAGTAGTAGGTTTCCAACATGGGCTGTGAACCCAGTTACTCTGATTCCGGATCTGGGGCTCTCTTCACTGTACCAAGCTACTCTAGCGGGAAAAAATGACTCTGGAACTTTTTTTTAAAATGCAGCAAACTTTTTAAAAATCACACAGAAGTGAAAAAAAATCATTTTCTGATTAAAATAATTCTCAACATCAATTTCAGAATAAGAACACTATACTTGAAATTGAAAATGCTGTATTGTTCTGGATATAGGTCACACGCTTTAAAATGAATTATCTTTGGGTGGAAAAAATTGATTTATGTTGAAAAACACTACTTTCCCTTCTACTGCCCTGCAGCAACATATGAATAGAGCTCTGGAAGTCAGGAAGTCAGGAGTCAGGAAGACCTGAGTTCAAATGTGTGACCCTGGGCACATCACTTAACCTCTGTTTCCCTCAATTTTCTCATCTATAACATGAAGGCAATAATAGTACCTACCTCCCAAGGTGGTTGTGGTAATCAAATGAGATAATTGTAAAGCATTTAGCATAGTGCCTGGCACAGTAAAGTGCTATGTAAATGTTTGTTGTTTAATTGTGTCTGACTCTGTGAGCCCATTTTGGGGGTTTTCTTGACAAAGATACTGGCGTGGTTTGCCATTTCCTTCTGCAGCTCATTTTACAGTTGAGGAAACTGAGGCAAATGGGATAAGTGACTTGCTCAGGGTCCCACAGCTATTAAGTGTCTGAGGCCAGATTTGAACTCAGGTCCTTCTGACTCTAGGTCTGGTGCTCTATCCACTGCACCACCTAGCTGCCTGTATAAATGTTGGCTATTATTATTAGACTCTAGAACTTTGAAATGGTTATTCACAGCTGAGAAAGAGCCTAATATATGAGCCACCCTCCCTTGTTGTCCTCTAATCCACCCCTCCTCCCCCTTTTTTCCCCCCTAGTTAAAAAATGAGGAGATGGGGCCCTTTGCTGGAATGACTTGGAAGTTTGGAAATCCTTGCTCGTGGGCATTGAGCCACTTGTGTAGAATGTGGATGTGAAGTGCAAACGGGGGAAGGAACATCTGGGATATAAGAGAAGGAAGGAAGGGTGATGACGGGCTTCAGAGTGAATGCCCGATCTCCAAGCACTCTGTGAGGAGCCTGTGCATGGACTCCCTTATTTGGAAGTATCAACATAAGTTCCTTTAGCTTTTGGACCATCTAAAGAGTAAGCTCTTGTTTTTGCTGCTAGGGAGATCAATAGGGCTTCCACTCTGAAGAGCTAAGAAAATCCTTATAGGCTCCACTCAGGTTCCCCTCTGTTTGGGTGGGAGGTGAGGTCTGGGAACCAGGGCCTATCATTGAAACCAATATGCTCTGTAAAGCTGTGTTCTCTTAGGGCTAGCGTCCAAGCACAGGGCATTGTGCCCTGATTATTACCGGCTTTAATTTGTAGCTTTTCTTTCTTAAGGTGAATGACCCCTTTCAAATTCCCAAGGTTTCAGTACTTTGTAAAGAGTATTTTTTGTGAATTACATAGAAGCCCTCCTTTAGGACAGTAGAACAGCAGTTCAAATGCTGTCAACTAATTCAGAATCAAATGCAAGCTGCTACAACAAGCCTTTATTAAATGTCTAGAGTGTGTATGGCAGTATAGCACCATATATTTCATTTCTTACATTGGCATGCTAGGTATCCACAAAATAGATTTCTACACTGTATTTTCTTGTAAGGTGGAATAGCCATACAATGGGTTTCTTCCACTCAAGAGTATTCCTGTAATGTTGAATTCCAGGGCTGAGAATGACTGCAAGTGAGAAAAGCTCCCTTTCAGAAATACAGACAATGGAGAGGGGCATGATTTTGTTTTAGCGGGGTACAATCTTTATATAGACTCCATTTCGGGGTCCTAGAGCAGATCTAGACTTCAGCTGCAGGGGTACCTGAAATAAAGAGCAGATAGATTAGACTATGCAGTCATTAGAAAAGTTTGAGCTGATCGGGAAGGAGACTCGATAGTCTGAAAGGCAAAAGTGAAGGACTGCATTTTGGGTCTGGAAACCGGAGAATGGAGTGTTGTGTGTGAGAAAGGGAAAGGCTATTTTAGCTGCATTCCATGAAGGGGAGTAATATATAATAAAGCTGGAAAGGTAACTTGGACCTAGGTTGTGAAAGACTCTAAATGCTAAGTAGAGGGGTTTATACTTGACTCTAGAGGTAACAGGGAACCAAAGAAGGGGAGTGTAACAGCAGTCATTTCCTAGCCTCTTAACACAGCTTCCTCTCCCTATACAATCTGCTGGTTTCCAGCTTTCTTGACTCACCTTCCTAATCTGGGGGCATGAAAGGTCCCATATCTGTATAGTGGGCTCCTCTCAGGTTTGGTGGATGCCTGAGACCACTGCAATCACCATAACCTGGTGACTGACAAGACATTTCCAGATGGAGACAAGGGGGGGCCACTTCCAGAGAAGCTGGATGCCACCATGTACTTGTTGTATACCCTGGCCATTTTAGGGCAAAGTAAACTTCCTCCTTTGTTAAATCTTCAGGGGCTTGCCTCATTTCACCCCATTGAAGCTGAATTAAAATGATGCTGGCTTTAGAGCCATACCTTCAACAAGGGGAAACCTGTGGTCAGATCCTTGCTTTAGGAAAATCCCTTTCTCCACTGCAGGGGGTTGGGGGGGGTCAGAGGATGGATTGGAGAGAGGGAAGATTATAAAGTAGTTTCCTTTTTATAGATGGGCAAACTGAGATCAAATTGGTCAACACTTAAAGAAATTAATTTAAGCTATTCACTGGAAGGTCAAATACTGAAGCTTAAATATTTTGGCCACATAATGAGAAGGCAGGACTCATTGGGAAAGCTCCTGATATGGGGGTAGGTTGAAGGCAAAAGGAAAAGGGGAAGGCAGAGGATGAGATAGATAGTATCATGGAAACAGAGAACATGAGCTTAGATGAACTTTTGAGAGATAGTGAAGATAGAAGGGCCTGGTGTGCTGTGGTCCTTAGGGTCATGAAGAGTTGGACACAACTGAACAACAGCAACAAAACGGAGACCTAGAGAAGTAAAATAAGTAGACTAAACTTGCATAGCAGACTAGCGGCAGAGCCGGGACTAGAGGACGGCCCCCAGTTCAAGGCTTTTCATTATTTGCCCCATGAAGTTGTTGCATCTTTGGACCTCCTAGCAACTCTTTGAATTACAGACAGAAATCAAGTAGCCCCTAGGAATAGCTCCCTTTTGTATAGCTCTTCAGCACCCCCATGAGGTATTGGTAGTGCATGGAATGTTATTTCCATTCCATAGATGAAGGCAGTGAGAGTCAGAGAGTTAAGGTAACTTGCATGTGGCCACACGCTTGTAGATGTTGGAGTCGGGCTTCAAAGCTAGGTCCTCTGACTCCAACCTCAGTGGCCCTTCCAGTATAACCCAGTACCTCCAAAGGCTGGTCTTAGAATTCCAAGCCTAGGAAGCTGCTATTGCAGACATTTCATGTCTGGGTGCCCCAGGTGAGAGAGCTGCCCCTCACTCACTTTGTGTGTCTGGAATTCCTCTCTCACTTTTGCTCTTGGAAAAGAGCTGGGATGCAGGGCAACTTGGAGACCTCGTGGGTAGAGCATTGCCGCTGGAGTCAGGAGGACCTGAGTTCAAATCCAGCCTGACACTTACTAGCTGTGTGACCCTGGATACGTTACTTAACCCAGTTTACCTCCAGGAAAAAAAAGAAAAGAAAAGAACTTGGATAGAGTGAGGAGGAGAAAGAGGCTCAAATTGACTGTTGGGGGGAGGAAAACTCCCCCTCCCCGAAGAAAGGAGAAGGGCTTACCTGAGTCTTAGGGCAGGTTTCAAACTTGAACTTCTGAAGAATTCGGAGCAATGTCAACTTGATTTCCAGGATGGCCAGCTTTGCTCCGATGCAGCTACGAGGACCTGCCCCAAATGGGAGGTATGTGAAGGGCAGATGCTGTTGTCTTGCCTCTCGGCTAAACCTACAGGGTAAACCACGTGTACCACATCAGTTCTGAAAAAGAAGGCCACTTCATTGTCTCTCCAAGGTATTCCTAACCTACTTGAGTGCCTTACTTTAATATTATAGGAACTCATATTTATATTGAAACTTAAAGGTTTACAATGCCCTTTTCACACAATAATGCTATGGGATAGGTACAGCAAATGCTTGCGGGTATGGTCGGAATTGCTTTCCAGAATGACTAAACCAATTCAGAGCTACACCAACAATGCATTAGGATGCCTGTCCTCCTTCATTCCCTTCAGTAATTGTCATTTTCCTTTTTTTGTCATCTTTACTAATCTCAGCAGTGGGAGATAGAATTTTAGAAGTGTTTTGATGAGAATTTATCTGGTTTTTAGTAATATGGAGCATTTTTCCTTGTGGTTGTTGATAACTTGCTTTTTTAGAAAGAAGTTTTCCTTGGGAATTGCCTGTTCATATCCTTTGACCCTTTGTCTATTGGAGAATGTCTCTGAGACACAGAAAGTTTAATTCACATGGCCAAGGTCACTCAGTAAGTGGTGATATAGGGAATTCAAGTCTCCTGCCTCCTAATGAATGATTTTTTTTTCCATTCTACCATGTTGCTCAGAAACACTTTGATTTATAAAGCAGGCTCAACACATAGACTATGCAAAGGCAGATTTCTGTCCTACCCATATTGGAATTATGATTTCTGAATAAGATGTTATTCAGGGTCCCAAAGGTCGATTGTTTCTATTTCCATGAGTAAAGTAGAGCTTCACAAGATGTCTATCAAGTATTGATAGTATTGGGATCTATCTGATTACTTTATAGGCACATCCAAACCCATAACTAGGGCAAGGTGAATGGGGCTCTATCCCAGGATGCTGAAATTTAGAGGGCACTAACAATACTTATGTTCCTTCAATAGAACCAACTACCCATTTCCTCCTTCCACTTATAATGGCTTCCCACTGTCCTGGAACCTATGTCTTTCCTCATGGTGGGGCCATGTCCGAAATTCCTCCCTCACTGTGTCTTGTGTTCTTGGTTTTCTCCCCTTGAACTGAATTTGTTTAAAAAATTGATTTAAGGGGGCAGCTAGGTGGCACAGTGAATAGAGCACCGGCCCTGAAGTCAGGAGTACCTGAGTTCAAATCTGGCCTCAGACCAAACACTTAACACTTACTAGCTGTGTGACCCTGGGCAAGTCACTTAACCCCAATTGCCTAAAAATAAAAAAAAAATTGATTTAAGGTCATGTCTCTATACTCCTTTCCTTGCATGTGTTTTACTTTCAAGTAAGGTTATTGTGTTGTTAGTTTTATTTAATGGTTTTATTTTGTTACAAGAGACTTCTCATGAAGTAGGATTCATCTGTAAATGTAATATAAAAACAAAAAGATACCAATAACACTTTAAAATAAAGTGTTATTGACATCTTTGGTGTTATATAGTCACTTGCCATACACTGTCACAAAAAAAGAAGAAACATTCTGTATAAGTGACTAATAAAACAACCACACCCGACTTTGTAGGGTACATTCCCCATCTAGTCCCCCACCTCTCAACTGAAGAGGGAAGTGTGTCTCATCATCTTTTCTGACTGAGTGCATTTTATGCAGCCTGCATCAGTCACCAAATTTGCTAGCTATGGCTGTGACCATATCTCCTCTGGAGCATAGTCAGAGGGCCATGAAGGGAGATGCTTCCACCGATTGAGTGATTATCTAAATGTATGCATGATCAAACTTCAGTTATAGAGAAGCTTTTTGAAAGGGAAAAAGAGGGAGAAGGAAATTTCCTACCTCTCTGGGATAAATGTCTCTGGGTTTGGCCAGTATTCTGGATTGTGATGCAGATAGCCAACAGCTGTTTCCACAATAGCCCCAGCTGGGATATGGAGGCCCCTCACTTCACAGTCTTTTGCTGTTTCGCGAGTGAACCTAGCATAGGCAAATGATCACAGAGAATTAGATGCTAATGTTAGACTTTTAGAAGCCATCTATGAACTGTATGACCAATAAAAGTTGTGCTTCCACCAAGACAAATCAGAGGCAAAGACAATGTGTGCCAGAGTGAAAAGATGACCATGGAAGGATTAGAAAAATGTTTTTCCCCCTTCTCTCTGGTAGGCAGGAAAATGTAGACATCTGGTCATATCTTATTCCAGTCCAACCATCTTTAGCAACTTATTCTTGTCTGTCAAATAAAGACTCTTTTTCAAGGTCCTTTAGAATCTGAAGCCATCCTACCTTTCTTTTCTTCTTCAAATATATAATCCTCTGGCATTCAAAGTCCTTAGTAATCTATCCCCTTCCCTGTGTACCGCCCCCACACCACTTCTTACCCCACCGCAATCTTCTTACACCTTACACCTTTCTATGTCTTCTGTAATCCAGTGACACTGACCTCCTTGCTCTTCCTTGAACAAGAAACTCCATTTTCCAACTCTGGGCATTTTTACTGGATGTTTCTCCCCCTTGGGCCCTTCCAGACCTTCACCCCCTTCCAGACCCTCACCTTCCCTTTAAGTACCAGTTAAAAACCCATTTTCTACAGTAAAGTCTTTCCTGATCCCCCTTAATTTTAACACCTTCCTTCTCTTGATAATCTCTAATTTATCTTGTATATAGCTTATTTGTACATAGTTGTTTGCATGTTGTCGGTGAATATCAGACCATGAGCTCCTTGAGAGCAGGGACTGTTTTTTATCTTTCTCTGTATCTCCAGAGCTTAGCATAGTGCCTGACACATAGGAAGTGCTTAATAAATGTTTACTGACTGAATTATTCCAAATTATTTACTGCCTTCCATTTACCCTGTGCTCCAGCTAAACTGGAGTCCTTGTGTCTTATTTGATACTATTACCAGTGCCAGAAATGTCCTCCCACCTTGCCTTCACCTGATAAATTTCTACCCGTTCATTAACCCCCAGATCAGATGCTGTCACCTTCAAGAATCATGCTTTGATGTTGGTAATAATAATAATAATTTCTAAATAGACCTCACATAACATTTTGTTTCGTATGTTGTTAAGGCACCTATATAATCTTGTGTACTATAGTTATCCATGTTTTCATCCTATCTTCTTCCTAGACTGAAGCAAAGACTATACCTCGACCAAACTTTGTCTGTGTTCTTGGCATATTCTAGGAGTTTAACAAATTTTTTTTTCAATGAATGAATGAATTTAGAATCGAGTAAATTAAAAGTTGCAAATCAACCACAGGCCAAATCATATCTTTTATAACATAGCTAATGTAAAGTGAAAAATTGATATATGGGTATATTATTGGTCATATCTCCCTCCCCCCCCACACTCCCCATTCCCTCGACAAATCAGAGTTATGATAAAAAAACCCCAACATTTAAAATCCTAGGATTTTAAATACACACATATTTTGCTCCAAAGTACAAGCACCTTGTGTTGGTTACTACCTGGAAAAAAATAGTATGTGGGATAAAATCAAAGATGGTAATGCCAAGCAGAGTACTGGGCTGACTGCTTGGGTCTTGATCTGCTGCTGTAGGTTCTATAAAGCTCTCCAAGTAGAAAGAGTACAATGCTTACATAGGAAGCACAAGCTGGAGATGGAGACTAGGAGGCAATCAGACTGAGCATTTCCTCAAACTCCGTGTCTGGGAAAGCCTGTCTCTCCACAACCTTCTAGAAAAGTTGGGATCATTTCCACAAGTTGCTGCAACATTTCAGCAGTATATTAGGCCCTGTGCACTTTAGCTTTTTAAAATCTCAGATGCTGAGCTTTGCTTGACCCTTTTTAGACCCTGAACACCTGCCAAAAACCCGTTTTAAAAAAAACAGCCATTTAACAGAAAAAAATCCAAAAGGCACATCACACCCTCAATGGCTCTATCTTCCTGTGTATTAAGTTAAGTCATTAGAACAAAGGATATTATCTCTGCCTTCTCCTACTCCCTCAAAAATACCTTTACTGAGTTTTGATTATTTACCCCCTGCCTTTATAAAATGTAATCCTCTAAGGTAAGTTATACATTCGTGCTTTGTTGCTATCTTTTATACAACTAGTTGAACACCTTCCCCACTATATTACTCCTAGTCCATTAAATAAGGGGCTATGAGATAAGTTTCTGTTTGAGTTTAGCTTAAAAGATGGGAATAGTAAGCTTCTGGTCAGGCATGGAGTATACCTGGTGAAGATTGTTAAGGATATATTTGCACAAAATTCGATGCTGTGTAATTATAATAACCAATCTTGGCCCCAGGGGGATATGTGAAGAATTGTACCTCCTGCTTTTCATTGGAGATGTGGGGAACAATGGGTGTGGAAATTTGTATGTACTGTCAGGCTTGGCCAATGTGTTGGCTGGTTACAAAAGAAAGCTATATGGTAGTTAGGATTATGCCTAGTAATAATAACTGTGACGTAAAAACAAAAGGTATGAATAAAACTTTGGGGGGGATAAGAATGTATTTGCCTGGAGTCTTGCAAACCAAATCAAAAGGACTTTTCCTTGAAAAAAAGAGGAGGAAGAAAACTGCCCAGATATATCCTTCAATAAATACCATAGACAGCAGTTACTATGTAGAAAGAAGTAGAGATGCCCAGAAGTTCATTGGAGACAAAATAAAAACAAAAGGAGACCTGTGATCTGTACATACAAATATACTTAGAATGGGTGACAAGGAGTTTGAGCTAGAGATCTGAATTCAAGAAGACAAATTGGGCCTTGTAGATATCACTGACTACGTTGGATAGAACCTATGACTGGAATGTGGCTACGGAAGGGTGTACTACACCTTATTCAAAAGGGGAAAAAAAAAAGGATAATAGAAGTGTAAGAGTAGCTTTGTGTATTCAGATGACATTCTCATGGAAAGAAATTCAAGAATGAGATTACAGGGAAAATGGTGGAAAGCATTTGGGTAAAGATCAAAAGTGCCAGAAACAGAGTGATATTATGGTTGGAATAGACCAAAAACCACTTGAACAGTCCATCTGGCCTAATCTATCTCATTGATCAACTTTTCTTTCTTTTGGTCAGTACCAACATAGTTTTGATGATTACTACTTTGTAGTATTGGGGCAGGTAAGTGATGAAGTGGCTAGAGTTCTGAGCCCAAAGTCAGGAAGACTGATCCTCCTGAGTTCAAATCTGACCCCAGATACTTACTAGCTGTGTGACCCTGGTCAAGTCACTTCACCCTGTTTGCCTCAGTTTCCTCATCTGTAAAATGAGCTAGAGAAAAGGAAATGGCAAACCACTCCAGTATCTGCCAAGAAAACCCCAAATGGGGTCACAGAAAGTTGGACATGACTGAAACTACTCAATAAACAACACTTTGTAGTATAGTTTGATATACCACTAGCTCCCTTTCCTTCCCACAATTTTTCATTATTCTCTTTGAGAAACTGTTGAGGGCTAGGACTCTTCATCAAGGGATCTTTTCTGTCAGTGGTCAGTAGAACTGCTGGTAGGGTGAAACTCTTTAAATGAACACATACAATTTTGTGTGTGAGAAAAGTATTTATTAGGGACTATTTAATGAGGACACAAGGAAATTTTTAATGAGGACATAAAAACTACCAGGAAATTATACTAGCTCAGGACAAACATATAAATCTATTTTTTTAAAATGATGCCTATGTGAGGAGAATAGAATCCTTAGCAAGAAGCTTAAAAATCTAAGACACAATCATTTCAGGATATTGGCAATGAATCTCTCTCCTGGACCTCCCATGTGGAAAGGGAAAAGGAGAGAGAGAAGGAAGGAGAGGCTGTTTCTCTTTTTGAAGGAGAGAGAAACTGTTCCATTCTGCAGGAGGAAGAGACAGAGAGATGAAGAGAGACAGGGAGGGAAAGAGAGAAAGGAAGAATAGGGGAGAGGGGAGAAAGGTTAAAAGAAGAAAATACAAGTCCTGCGTCTTCTGGCCAAGGCAGGTATCCTCCATACCTATCCAAATTTGCTTTCCTGAGAACCGATGCCAATCTCTTCCAGATCTGAAGATCAGTGGCGATCTCTATCCCCTTTTCTAAGGAAGAAGTCAGTTTTGAACCAAGGGAGTCCTGCCTTGTTCATAAATAGAGAACCTCCCCTTCATTCTGGTTAACCTAAAATGTTGGGGACCACACTTTCCTGAAGCTTATTCTTCTGGTTGAAGCTGTAGGAAAAAAAAGAGCTATTATGATAATAACTGGCATTTATAGAACGTTTTAAGGTTTGCAAAATACTTTCCACACATTACCTAATTTGTGCCTCCCAACAGCCCTGTGAGGGAGGGAATAAGTAGTATCCCAGTTTTACAGATGAGAAAATGGATACCACATAGTAGGATTTCCAGGCAGGATTTGAACTCTTACTTTTGTAACTCCAGTTTCAGGATGCTATCTGCCTCAACCTACTCCTTTTCAATATTATCCACTCCTTTGTGCGCCCCTTGCCCATTCCAAACAGCCAGAAGGTAACTGTGGGTCAGCTCAGCTGTTCCTTAGAATACTGCCAAGGCTAAGTTGATAAGCTCTACTTAACATTTGTGTCACCTGCAAATTTGCTAAGCATGTCATCTATTCCTTCATCTAAGTCACTGATAAAATATTGAGCAGCACAGGACAAAGGACAGATCCTTGTGGCACTCCCTTTAAGAGGATATTAATGATTAACTATTCTTTGGGTCTAGTCTTTCAAACGCTTTTGAATTCACTTAACTACTAGTATCTAACCCCTATCTCTTCATCTCATCTACAAGAATATCATGCTTTGTTTAAAACAATCCAGGTGGATTGTGTCTGCGGCATTCCTCTGAGTTACCATAAGCCTAGAAACCCTATGAAAAAGGAAATGAGGTGTGGCTTAACCAGCTCTTGATAAAGTTATGTTTGCTCCCAGTGATCTCTGTTTCCCTTTCTAAACGCACACAAACAATCCTTCTAATAGTAACAATATGTTCTAAATGTATTCTGCAATATTTTCTCTACATGTAGTAAGTCTTATAACCATGTTAAAAAAAGGAAATGGGCTTAGACTGACATGACCTGTTGCTGATGAATCAATCATGCACGTGGTCTTAGTATTCCCTTTTCCCTTGCTCACCCACCATGCTTTGTGTGGTTCTTGTTTGACTTTCTTTTGAGAAGTCTATCTTACAAGCCACCTTTTGGCATTAGTGAGTTGTACATCTTAAATAAAAATACTAAATGAGATCAATTTGAACGCTGTGCCTCACGAAACAGATCTTTTAATTGAAATGATCCCCATTTATTGCCAGCATCAGGGGCATGTGGATAAAGCCTATGTTATAGGTGTTCTGTATTCTCATAGGAAAGAGGTGGTATTGAATAATATTAGTTATAGTAGTAATAGCTGTCATGTATATAAGGTTTGTATATTAAGGTTTGCAAAGCTCTTTAAAGACATTGTCTCATTTGATATTCTCATGATAACCCTGTGAGGTAGATGTTATCATTATTATTCCTATTTGTTTGGTCCAGTAGAGTCAGAAGACCTGAGTTCAACAACTATCTCCAACACTACCTGAGTGACCTTGGGGAAAATCACTTAACCATTCTGGGCTTCAGGTTTTGTGTGTGTGTGTGTGTGTGTGTGTGTGTGTGTGTGTGTGTGTGTGTATGTGTGTGAGAGAGAGAGACAGAGAGAGAGAGATTGAGACTGATTTGGACTACATGGCCTTTGAGATCTCTTCTTGTTCCAATCTTATGATCCTAAGAGGAAATTAGGGGCAGCTAGGTGGCGCAGTGGATAGTCCCAGAATTAGAAAGACCTGAGTTCAAATCTGCTCTCAGATACTTGTTAGCTGTGTGATCCTGGGCAAGTCACTTAACCCTGTTTGCCTCAGTTTCCTCATCTGTAAAATGAGCTGGAGAAGGAAATGGCAAATTACTCCAGTATCTTTGCCAAGAAAACCCCAAATGGGTTTACAAGGAGTTGGATGTGACTGAAAAATGACTAAATAACAACAAGAGGAAATTGAGACCCAGGTGATTTGACCTGCCCAGAGTCACACAGCTAGAGAGTGTCTGAGGCAAGACTCAAACCCAGACGTTCCAGATTCCAAGTCCAGTGCTTTATCCACGATAACACATTATCTCTTTCCCATGTTCAAAGAGGAATCATAGAATCTGACTTGAAAGAGATATCTGAGACTATTTGATTCAATTTTCTCTATAAATTTGAATATGAATCCCCTTTGTTTGGGGACCACTGTACTTATTAGGAAGTTTTTCCTTATATCCAACGGAAATCTGCCCTCCTTGTTGCTCCCACCTATTAGGAAGGAAGAAGCAGTTATTAAGCGCTTTCCATGGGCTAAGCGCTGGAGGTGCAAACACAAACAAAAAGCAAGGTGGCCCAGCCTTCCAGTTTACGTCCTAGTAAGGGGAGGAAACACCCAAAAGGGGGCTGAAAAGAAGGAAGAGAAGGGAGGGGAAAAGTAAAAGGGAGGAGAAAGTAAAAAATCGGGACAGGAGGGCAATGAAGGCAGGCAGGCCTGGGCTTGTCCACAAAATGGAGGCTCAGGCAGGAGCTTACCAATGGAAGGGGGTCGGGGAGGGGAATATTCCATGATGAACAAGCTGCAAGAGTGAATTGCCCTTCTGGGGTCAAGCAGAACCAGTCTAATCTTTCTTCTGCATGATGTAACATGATCCAAGCCATAGAATAACAAAGCAGATGCTACAGTGAAGGATTTTACAGTACCTGCTGCTAGATGATGAACATTCAGGGAGAACAGCAACATTTTACTTGCTATTATCCATTTGAAAAGCTGTTCAGAAAAGTATCTTCAAGTTTGTATAATCCCCTCTTTAAAAAAAAAAAGGCAAACAGTACATCTTAATGATGTTCATGTCTGGAAAATTAATTCCTTAAAGTGCTGAGTTGAACATATGGCATGTAATTAAATCAGTTTGTCTTACTCCGGTTTACTTAGCCCTGAATCTGATCACTTCTTTGTTCACTCCAAGAGCCACTTATTGGGGGAAATCTGAGAGAAGCATTAGAACACCAGCTCCTGCCTTCTAAGCACCTACTTTCAATTGGTGGAGATTAAGCAAAGACCCATCAAACCTTTGTTGACCATGCTACCCAGGAGAGAGTAAGCTCCCTGAAGGCAGGGACTCTCATTTTTGCCTTTGCATCACCCAGCACCTACCATCTTGTCTTACTCATAGAAGGGGCTTGTTGGATCAAATCTACTGAATTAAATTACAAAGTAACATATGAAAAAGTTCCAGAATAGAATATGAAATGATATTTCAGCTAATAAGTACTGAGGCACAATATAGAATCAATTTATATAGCCACTTGTGGCAAATGCATTCTTAGTGTCCATGATCTCATTTCATCCTAACAGCCCTCAGAGATGTAGCGCGAGTATTATTAGCACAGTTTCATAGACGAGGAAGCTGAGATTTAGACAGGTTAAGGAACTGAGCCAAGGTCACAAAGCTAATAAATGGCGTCCCCAGAAAGACTTAAGATTCAGATGTCCTTGTCTTCTTATACTTTCCCTGTTTGTCCTTACACTAACCTACCTCAGTAAAGGATGGGTGTGATTTATATGGGACCTGGGATTAGGCAAACTTCTTGGAGGGGTAAGTTTTGAGCTGAAGGAAGAGATGAACAGGGATTTCTGGAGAGGAGAGAGTACCCCTTCCCTTCGCCCTCCCACTTTCCATTTACCCCTGTTCCCCCACTCCCTGTTAATGTCATAGCATGATAAAGAATCAGAGAAAGACTTTAATTGAGGAACGAGAAGGGGGCCTTTAAATGAGGGTAAGAGCAATGAGCCTAGCAGTGAAAAAGCCTGGGTAAGGGGAAAGTGGCATTCTGGGAGAGAGGGCCATTTAATTCTTGATTCTTCATGGGGTCAGGGTGGGAGAGTTAGGCCTGTGAAAGAGGTACCATGCGTGGGACTTGGGTGGAGGGGCCCTTGATAAGGTTGTTATGCTATAGACTTAGGGATGGTAGCTGCTAAGTAGAAAGTTCTTAGTGGGAGAAGAATCAGAATGTTGGAACCCAAGAACAAAGCCCTCAGCCCTATGCTGTTAAATACACTGTTAAGTATTAATATCTCTATTTTATTGATGAGGAAAGAGACTCAGAGGTGAAGTGTGGTATAGTGGATAGAGTGTTGGCCTTTAAAGTTTAAGAAGACCTAAGTTTGAATCTTGCCTCAGACACTTTACTAGCTGTATAACTCTGTAGTCTCTCTGGGTCTCAGTTTCCTCATATGTAAATGAGAGTGGTTGGACTCAAAGACCTACCTCTAAGATCCCTCCCAGCCCCAAATCGATGATTCTATGATTATACTGGCAGTGATTAAATAGTGGATCTGCAATTTGAACATAGGTCTCCTGACTCCAAAATCTAATACTTTCTATTTTACTATTCTGTACCATTCCCCCCTAACCCGTTACTTATTGACTTAGAGAGAAATCCATCTGTTAGCAAACATTTATCGAGGGCTTACTATACATGAAGTGTTGTGTGAGGCACAATCTGTGTTTGTGGGAGCTTACACCACCAAATATAAGACACTGTTTCTACACTTCAAGGGAGAGAGGACAGTTGGGGAAATAAGACATATACATGAAAAGAGAATCATCAAAAAGTGGCAGCTTGAGTGGTAACTGGGCAGGTAGATGGCTCAGAGTGCTGGTCCTGGAGTCAAGAAGACCGGAATTCAGATGTGGTTTCAGACATTTACTAGCTGTGCAACCCTCAGCAAGTCACTTAACCTCTCTGTTTGCCTTAATCCCCTGGAGAAGGAAATGACAAACCACTTCAGTATCTTTGTCAAGAAAACCCCAAATGGGTCATGGAGAGTCAGACTACTGAAACTACCCAACAACAACAACACAAACAGACAGTAAGTGTTATACATGACCAGGGAAGGGAAATGGTAGTCAAGTCCACAGAACCACAGAATTTCTTTAAAAAAAATTTTTTTTAAAGATTCACAGAATTTCAGAATGGGAAGGGTCTTCAATGGCTGACTAGTTCAACTCCTTCCTGAAAAAGAACCCCATATACAACATATCCCAAAAAGTGGTTACCAAGTCTTTGCTTGAAGACTTCCATTATGGAAGAAACCATGACTTCCCAAGGCAGCCCATTCTATTCTTGGATAGCCTAATTGTTAGGAAATTTTTGACTTATGTCAAGCCCAAATTTTCTGTTCTCATTCCACCCACTGCTCCTAGTTTTGCCCTCTGGGGCTGAGAGAAACCAATCTAATCACTCTTCGCAGTGAAAGCTCTTCCACTACTTGAAGACATCTCTTATGATTGCCCTGAATACTCTCTTCTCCTTGATAAACTTCAATGGCAATTCCTTCCACCAATCCTCATATGCCATGAGCCTCAAGTCCTACCCCAGTCTGGTTGCCCTCCCATCAACTCCTTCTTTAAAATGGAAAATAATAGCGAAGATGCAGTATCTGACCAGGTCTACCCTGTACAGTAAGTACAGTAAGACTTCCATTGCCATATTCCTGAAGAAAAAAAAAGAGCTCAAGATTGTTTTAGTTATTTTAGTTGTCTTATCATACTACTGACTTATGGTTTGCAGTCCAATAAAACCCCCAGATCTTTTCCCAGAAATTTTTGATCTGACCTTACACTTCTGAAATAATTTTTTTTTGAAACTCAAGTATAAGACTTTACATTTAGCCTCATTGAATTTCCTCTTATTAGATTTAGCCTACCTAAAAGCTGGTGGGTACATCCTCAAGGTCTCTGCAATCACCATGTCCAGGTAGGGTAATTCTTCTTCCAGTGTGCAGAATTTGGGGATAGTCTACAAGAAAGAAACAAGAAAAAGCTGTGTTCAGATGATTTCAACAATTCTTAGCTTTTTCATATTTTTTCAAGTTGGAATCTAAGCACAGATGTTTAAATAAAACTTCTCTACTTACAAGCAAATATAACACAAATCTCAACAGGACAGTCTATGGACAGTTTTCCTATACTAGAATTACATTGTATTCAGTGTTGCTCAAAACAAGCTGGCTGTCACCTGGAGCTTAAAAATCTCTGGGTCAAAACCAAACCAAACCAAAACAAATAAACAAAAAAATCTCTGGGTCATCATGATTGCAAAGGACTCATGCTGAAACCTTGTCCCCACCTCCTAAAAGAGAGGTAGCAGACTCACTGCAGATTCACAACTATTTTTTTCAATATGGTCAATGTGGAGATTTGTTTTGCTTATTGGTTACAAAGGTAGGAGAAAACATAGATTTTTGTTGATTTAAAACGTTAGATAAAAAAGAAATCTCTGGGTCATAATGGGATCCCTGTGAAACCCAGGCAAACAACATGGTGTATTGGAAAAAGCAATGGAAGTGTTGTCAGTAGATCTAAGTATGAGTTCTGGCTTTACTCTAGCAATAGATGTGAACCTAGACATGGTAGATTGTAGTGCTGGGATTGGATTCAGGAAGATCTGAGTTCAAATCTTGTCCCTGCCACTCATTAGCCATGTGACCCTGGAAAAAGTCGCTTAACCTCTTCAGGCACAGGCTAGAAGACCGCATTTCTAGGATGTTGTAATATTCCTTCTCTGGGTAGTTCAGTCAAACTGTTGTACCATTTCCCATCGCCATACCTTTGTACACGCCTAGAATACATTCCCTCTTCACTTCTGCCTTTTAGAATCTCTAGCTTTCCCTGAAGTCTCAGCTTAATTGTCACTTTTTTTGGGGTGGAGTTAGGCAATTGAGGTTAAGTGACTTGCCCAAGGTCACACAGCTAGGACGTGTTAAGTGTCTGAGGCTGGATTTGAACTCAGGTCCTCTTGACTCCAGGGCCGGTGCTCTATTCACTGCCACTTAGCTGCCCCTAATTGTCACTTTCTACATGAAATGGATCCTGATCTCCCAATTTGCCAGTACTCTGCCTCTACCCCAAATTACTTTATATGTATTTTGTATTTATTTATCTGTATAAATGTTGTTTCCCCTAAATAGCATGTAAGCTCAAAAATTACATTGTATTAAGGAACATGCTAGTAAATATTTCACAACAGGCTCTCCAATAAAAAAAGAAAGAAAAGTACACACATCACACTTTCATGTTTAATCTGCATTATTCACATGTTCTGTTCTCCATTACTTTTTTTTTTTACAATCAATAAACAATAAAACAAACCCTGATTTGTAGCATCGTCTATGTCTGAGGTATAAATGCTCTCACTGAAAATTTAGCAATTGGCTCTCAAATAGTAGGAGCTGGCTCCAATGGTGTACCATTGTTTTTATTTATTTTGTATATATTTACATGGGTACATATGGTCTCCCCAGACAGAGAGGGCAGGAATTATTTAATTTTTATCTTTTGCATACCTAGCACCATGCACGGCACATAGTAGGCCCTTAATAAATGCATTTCCAATGAATGAAACAGCATGGAGCAAATGATCTCTAAAGGGCTCTTCCAACTCGAGGCTTCTATGATCTAAATGCATTTGAACCGGTCTATAAATTTGCAAATGCAAATGCCATAAATTTGCACATGTAAATGCAATCCAAATGCATATGATCTAGTCTTTGCAGACAGGAGAGGGGCCAGCACAGGAGGGAAGCAGAAGGGAGGGCTGTTCACAAATCACCATAACTTACTTTGTCTCTTCTGGGCTCTTTCTCCTTTTGGAAGAGCTGGTGACAAAAGCTTCATGTATAGGTTCTGCCAGCAGAGGGCAGCAAGAGTACATCAAAGAACAGAGTGCCAGTCAACCTGAGTACCCCATTCTCTCCTCAACTCAACTCCTTAGCAGCTGGGCATATTACTTACCCTGTCTGTAGCTGAAGCTCAGTTTCCTTATCTGAATAAGGAAGTAATAACATTTACCATGTATGTGTGTATGTATATGTTTGTGTATGTATATACACATATGTATATATACACATAGTATATATATGTGTATGTGTGTATACACACATATCTATTTCTATCTATCTATATCTCATAGGGATACTGTGATGATAAAATGATACAGGGATAGGGATTTCCTTGTTATATGGAATTCCCAGGTCTGAAAAATGCTTCTACCAATGCAGGCTGGCACCTTCTCTACAACTGATAGTTTTAGACACTTGCTGGGGGTACACCAAAGTTTAGTGACCTGTCTAGGGGCGCATAGTCAATATGTATTAGAGGCGGGTCTTGAGGCCACCTCTCTGTTTACTTTGCCATTATGCATTCTGAAATAGCATTTACAAACCACCATATCAATGATAGGTTTTTTTGTGGGGCTTTCTTTGATCTGTACCTTTGATTTCATTGGTATAAGGAACATTCAGCAAAGGAACTCCCTCTCTCCATAGACATCAAGAATTACTCTGTAATATCTTGTCTTAGAAAGTTTCTTTCTGAGACTTGCCTGGAGTCACACATCTAGGAAGTGTCAAAGATGGGATCTGAACCTGCGTCTTCCCATCTCAGTGGCCAGTTCTATCCATGCAGGCGGGGCTGTGCCTCTCAAATGTGTCTGCTGACACTTGTTTTGGTGCTTTAAACGCTCGTGATTTTGTTGTTGTTAGTACTCCTTCACTAGCATAAATTGAAACCCTCTTTGGTCTAAGGGATGGTCTTTGATCTGTACCAAAAAAAAAAAAAATCATTGCCCTACAGCCAACCTGGTGACAAACTTAGCTAAACTGGTCTTCTGATGATAGATATACAGCCTGTCCCTGGCCCATACTAGAAGCCTTTCCAGCTTGGTAGCACCTGTCAGAGTGTACCCTTTGCTGGCACAATCTTCAAGAATCTTCTAGGGTCACCTCCATGATACCGTGATGGCTGAGAGTAAGGCTTGAATGGAGTTGGACTATATTTGTTGAACTACATTTTTATATTAATATTCTTGTACTTGACATTTACTCAGGACTACATGCTGGAGCCTTCTTAGGGGAAAAGGAGGGAAAAGTAACTCTGTTCAGCCTTGTACCAGTGAGTCAATTGGCCTAAGACGGGAAATACTGGAAGTATTGTGGGCAGGACACGAGGCAAGAATAGAACCTGGGTGTGGTCAGTGCATTCACAGCATATGTTCCCTAGAACACACATAGATATATATGCCCACAACTGTTTCATCCACACCCCATCCCCACTGTGTCCTATTTAGCATTACTATCTTACCCTGAAATTTTGGTATTTTTCTATAGAATTATGGGGTCAGAAAGGACCTTCTCCAGTTCACTGCATCCCCCATTGTATTGAATCTCAGGCCCAGAACAGTGACTTGCCCAAGGTTATGCAGCTAGTAGGCTGCGAGGTGGAACTCCAACTTGGTGTCTTGACTCTTGGTCTGGGCTCTTTCTATTCTGCTTTGATCCTCCCACTGGATCTGCTGCCTTGTAAGCCTAATACTGACTGGAGAAGTGGAGCAGTAATCCTCCTCTCTGTGCCCCACCCTCTTCTGTAGGGACTGTGTAGTCTATTTACAGCAAATAATAGTGATAAACAATAGTCAATAATGTAACATTTCTAGATCACTTTATACTTAAAAATGACCTCATTTGATCTTCACAACTATCCTGTGAAGTCATACAGGTCCAATATGGTTATTATCCCCATTTTACAGAGGAGGAAATGGAGGCTTTAGGAGATTCAGTGACCTGCTGAAGGTTGATTGGGTAGTATCTGGCAGACCCAGGAATCAGGTCTTCTGATGCTGATGATAATAATGATGATGATGATAATAATAATAATAATAACTTATATAGCACTGTGAGGTTTACAAAGTGCTTTATGTATGTTAACTCATTTGATCCTCACAACAACCATGGGAAGTTAGGTGCTATTATTGTCCCCATTTTATAGATAATGAAACCGAGGCACAGAGAGGTTAGGTGATTTGCCATGGGTCACATAGCTAGGGGGTGTCAGAGGCAAGAGTCAAATTCAGGTCTTCCTAACTCCATGTCTAGCATCCTACCCATTGTACCACGTAGTGGCCAAGCAGGCAGGCTAGAAAGTGGCTACCAAGCCATCCATAATGAAGAGGGATGAGTGCATGGTGGCTTCCTTCATATGTCATTAGAACAGCTCCCAGTGAAATGAGTATAGCTTCGGCAATTATCCAACATGGTGGGATGGATAACACTGGTCTCAAAGCAGATTTCTTTCTCTGGCTTGAATGACCTGGGTCAGCTGTCTACACAATCCCTTTGGTGGAATAGCTTCCTAATCTGAACTTCACCAGGTGATAATGAAGCTTTAGGCTGGGGCTGGGAATGTGCAGGGTACTCAGCTGGCCCAAAGGAACATTGGCACAGCTTATGGGCAGTGACCGCTCAGGCATCTTGGCAACTCTCTGAGACTATCAAAGGGCAGGAAGGTGGGGCTCTGCCTTGGTGCAGGAAGAACCTCAGTCTAGTTCCCTATGCCCATCTAATTGTAGGTCTAGTAAAAATAAAATCATGATCTTTTGGAAAATCTATATAGACCCAGAAGGGACCTTAGAGATCAACCAATAAGCATTTATTAAACACCTACTGTATGCCAGGGGCTGTGCTAGGTGCTACAGATGTAAGGATAAAGATTAAACAAATAGTCTCTGACTTCCAGGGGCTTACCTTCTATGTGCGCAGACAACATGGACACATAGAAGAATATTCAAAATGAATTCAAGGTGATTTTCAGGGAGGAGGCATCATCCAGACCAGGGTTTCTGAACCTCCTTGTGTCAAGGCCCCCTTTGCAGAATGGTGAAGCCCAGGGACCTTGTCTCAGAATAATGTTTTAAATGCATAAAATATAACTTGTAGGATTACAAAGGAATCCAATTATTCTTAA